CACTGCCTTGGTTTGGTCGTGTCTTATGGATTCTGACTGAAATTCCACCAAGATCCAGCTCCCATTAGGAAAGCCACCAGAATCCATACCCTGGACAATGCTGTGCACCTGTGAGAGACCTCCACACCTCCAGGTGGCGCTAACTGTCCTGGAAGGCATTGTAAATCTTGCCTTAGAAGCATTGGAGGGAATGTGCTGTGATATGTGATGTTTTTCATCTGATATGAAGAATATCTCTGATCAGGCATTGTGGCAAAATTGGTCACCTAGGCCCCCAGTATTTCTGTTTTTTATAGAATGTTCAGCAAGCATTAGAGTTTGATAGAAATCTTTTAATCAATTAAACATAATCAGTTTCCCTGCAATTTACCTCACGGGATCAATAAAATATCTATCATGCATCTCAGTATGCACAAAAATACACAAAAATCCTAGGTGACATTGAGATAACCTATCACAGTTCCTTGCAGTGACAAGTCTTACTCAGTATCTTACATTAGCATTCTTAGCACAAAAGAGCAAATGCAGTGAATGTGAAGTTGGCAAAGTCTTATTTAATTAGTCAACTGCAGGACTGACTAAGTTGCAAAATCAGCATCTCACCATTAACGAACCCTTTAACCTTTGTGAGCAAAATAAAGTGCCCCTCCCCAGATGCACCAGAGAACCAGTTATTGCTGGAAATGTAGAAACTACTGCTAATGATTCACCACTAGCACCAAAACCAGAGCACCATGCAGCTTCAGTTTCCACTACAGAATGTACAACTTGCGTTACTGACGTTACACCTTCTTCTGTGAAATCTCCAATAAGCAGTACTGGACAGATCTTTATTGTTAGAGCTTTTGAAGGGGGGGTAGACGTGTCTGCTGGTCCTCGTTTTCTCACAGTGCGGTACCTGGGTTTCAACAGTAAAGCTGTGGTACTAGCGATTCCAAATTACAGTAGGTGAGTATAGACAGGAAATCGCTTGCACCTTCAAATTTGAAAAAGAAATGGGACTACAGTGCTGGTATTCCTGTGTCCTTCCCCCAGTGAGTCAGGATTTCCTTAGATTATGGAGGTGTGACCTAGTATGAGACCAATCAAGTCGGTGCAGAGCACGAAATATTAGAATTTTCCTGTTCAAACAAGCTAGGCAGGTGAAGCTAGGTAGAGAATTTCTTTTCATTTTGTCTTTGGCAGCAAAATTGCTCGACACCCTAAGCCTAATAAGTAGTGCAATTTTGATCACTTGTCATGTCTCATGACATATGAAGAAAATCTATTGGAAAATGAAGTCTTTGAGATTTTTTTCTTTTCTTTACCCTGAAGATAATCCTTCTGAGTAGAACTGCAGTGCAAATAATAAAACGTATATTTTTGCACTGTCTTCAACATGAGTTCCCCCGGGCAGCCAGCTGGGTAATAGAGGAAAGATGAAGATGGTTTGGGCTTTCTTCTTTCTCTGAAAGGACCCTCTGAACCTCTAGTAAAGAACAAAGGCTGCATTCAGTACTTTATTGAAGATCTGGGGTGGTGTAGGTCATTGCCTTGGGCTAACAGGGCTGGCCTGCAAAACAGGCCAGTTGAATCTGCACTACAGCACCATAGTACCCAGTACAGCTCTTCACCTCAGTCTGTTTCCATCATTGCTGAGGGACAAGGCCTGCATTGTGTCTCCTCTTTTTCATTTTAAGGCCTGAAATGCTGTTTTGTGTATGAGTAAGTAAGTGCTCTTGTGTTGTAGAGCACTTATCCCATCTGGCACTCTGAGAGGAGAGGACCTTAGTTCTGCAGGCTGGAGTCATTGCTCCCTAACAATTTTCCCTTCCTTCTCTTTGAAGCCCAGATTCAAAGTGCATAGACTTTTGGTACTGGCGGGAGGTCCTGTACGAGTCAGTACTTCCAAGTCCCAACAGGCCCTAAAAGGTGAAAAGGTTCTGGGTGTCTGTTTTGAGGAGGGCAACGGAGGACAGAAAGGTGAGGCTGCAGGATGTGGCAAGACCTTTTGCCCTTTCAAGGTCTGCAAGATCGTTTTGGTTTTTTCACGGATGAAAACAGGGAGCCTGGATGCTCTATCCCTGTGCTCCTTCCTTTCCGTGACAGTGATTGATTTTGGAATCTAATCTTGTGGATGGCCTTACCTGTAGGCCTGGACATTAGGGTCTGAGGGACATTCCTGAGTAATAAATTCAGACACTGACAGAGTGTTATATCACAGAGAGCTATGGGTAAGCTATGGGTATGTCATGAAGCAGAACGTTGACATCTCTTTTGAGGTGGGTTCAATGCTACTTCATCATGACAGATCAGAAAACAGTTTGAAAAGTGTAAATCCACCTGAAAATTAGTTTTACATCCTGCTCTTGACTGTCTTTTTTATGAAGGGGGCAGAATTGCAGTTTAGATGACTGACCCATTTTTTTGTGTTTTCAGTAGGTGATTACTGAAGGTGACCAGCCAAGTTTAATCCATAATCTGCCCCACATCAGAAGAAAATCTTATTGAAACAGGTTATTTTAAGATGTGACTTGGTCTTGTCTTCTTTTGTTAACAGTATCTCACGGGAAGGTAATAACTCATGTTATTAGGCAGACAAATTTTAGTCTTTAAATTGACAATAGCTCTCTGTAACTAGGCCATGCTGATAAAGTAACACAGGGGTATTGATCAAGAATTCATCATCCCTTTTAAGGTGCCTGTCTTTAATGTTGATCATGTCAATAGAAAAGCCAGGCAGTGGGTTTCAGAAAATCTTTCCCATTTCTTTTCATAAACTGTGCTCTTGCTAGGTGATATCTCTGTCACCCTTGAAGGTCCAGGAAAGTTACAGAATGCTGCTCATTCAGGAATCCTGCATTTGCCCATTCAGTACAAATTTGGATTTAGATACATAAGTGGCTCTTGTTACTGACAGTTTCTGTAAGGAGCTAAAACTGTAAAGTTCACCCTTGGTGCTTTGCTGATTACCCAGCATTACCATTACTGTATACAGCCAGCTTGATTAATTAAGGTAATGAACATGTCCCAAGGGTACAGCAGCAGTGTCTGAAATAGGTACATGAATCTACAACACTCTCCTAACAGATCCAGAGCAAAACTATTAGTGTGCGCAGTATTGCGAAAAGCAAGTGGGAGATGGTGTCCAGAAGAATGAACAGAATGGAGGCATGAGGATCAGAGCTGGACAGCTGCACACAGGAGCTCATGGAGGGCAGGGATACAGGGTGCGTTTGCTCATCAAATATGCCTTAAATAAATAAGTGTTTTGTCTAGCTGTGCTCATACCAGTCTCCCTCTTGCCCTGTAGAAGGCAGCCCACCTGCTGATGCAGCTCAGCAGGGGTGAAGAATAAATCTTTTCCAGCACATGTCTGCTGGGCTCTGAAAAGCTGAATTGCTGCAGGCTGTCATTAGGTTCTTTATGGAGCCTGTAGGGGGGTTCCAGGGAGGGGAGGATAATTTAATGAAATATTAACTGCATTGAATAGACCACACGCAGGCATGCACAGCCTTTCACATGCTCTCTTGGTCTCTTACCCAACCATGCACACACTGGTTCACAAACAGCAGCACTCAGACATTCAAAGACAAACGTGCATCATCCCAGAGCTCACCCCAGACAGAGATATCAACTGTGGCAGGAAGCCCATTAAGGTTTATTACTAGAGTTGTATGAATTTACACATAAGCGACTATGGGAAGAGGAAAATAATATCTTAGAACTGTGCAGAGCATCAACAATGCGAGAGGTTTGTTACTACTTAGCTCATTTCAGTGATTCTAAGAAAAAAGGTAATTTTGCCTTATTTTAAGTGTTCCAGTTGAGAATTGTCTCTGTGTTTTTAGCACATCTCCAGTATCTTAGAGAGCAGGTTGAATGGTGGTTTATGCTTTGATCTTTATCTTTTCCAACACTGCTTTCTTGATATAACATGGTTAATCACAGCCCAGGCAGTCTTGATTGTTCCTGATGTACACCAGTCCTGGTTATTTTTATAACTTTCAATGTCTAAATATTACATAGAACTCTTTTGTTAAATCATCATGGTAAATTCAGGTTTTCCTTGGGATTTACACTTTACCTTTTTCTGTGGAGGTTTAGAAGTGCTGGGCACTTTTCAGTCACTGTCTCAAGCCCTCAGCCTGAGGCATCCGGCCCTTCCAGCAGGGAGACTGCTTTGTGTGTCCTGCTCAGCCTAACATAGAGGCAGCTGGTGTTCAGATCCCCCTGGTTAACTGCAAGCGAGGATACAGTTGGCAACCCCTCTCTCTCTGGCCTTTAAAGCTTTGATGGCTGCTGCTGCAAATGAACCATCCAAGTTAAGTGGATCTAGTATTTTAGTTCCCACAATGACAGTATTGATGAAGACTCCATTCACTCCCACCTCCCAGACCCTCTCCCAACATTGTTGCTGCTTATGGAACTTCACAGACGGAGCAACATAAGACAAGACACCCCAACGCTCCTCATTATCCCTTCATTTCATTTTCCATCCACTCTCTGCATTGGTCCCCATTTCCTTTATTGCACAGAGGGTGCTGGGAGTCTGGATGAAGCTTAAATTTTGGTTTCTTTCAAGACACAGATGGATGATCCCCAAATCAATTAACTACTAACTACCAAATGGGATAGATGGGCCAGACGGCTTCCTCTTGCATGTAACTTTTCTAATGTTTTTTCCAATTGCTTAGCTAATATCAGCAAAGTCATTTTAGGTGATGTAGATTACTGTGCTTATAGATGCGTATAATTTGTATAATTACTATATAATCCCCATTGATTGCCTTGAAATTAGTTCTTAAACAGGTTTTCAAGAAATGTCTCTGTTACTGATTTATTCTTCTATTTAAAATTAAAGTAGGTCGAGCGAAACCTGCAGATGTATTCAGTTTGGAATGTGCCGTATGGAGTTAATCTGTACTTCAGCACCACGGTCAGAGCACTGAGTTGAGATTTCAGCAAGCAGTGTGCCTTCAAAGGTAGTACGTACTGAGTGTTTTTCTCTTTCGGTTCAGAACAGGTCATCCCTTCTGTGACTTGCTTGAGTGCTGACCGGATTCTTTCTGTCTTGGTGCTGGCCTTGAGCTGAAAATGGGACACCTATCCAGCCTCGTGCATCTGATCTCTCTGACACTCAGCTATGCTGCTGGTAAAAGCCACACACTTCTCTGCCCTGTCTTCTGATCTCTCTCTTTCTCCCTCTCTTTCCCGTTCTCCCTCAGCTCTCCTCTATCTATCTGCCCCCGAGACACACACACACATCTGTCTTTTCATTTAATGCCAGGAGAAATGTTGTTTAAAAAATGTGTTGCTTAGTACTTGTAGAGCATCTGTGCCAAGACGCTGAGAGGGAATGTATGTCCAGGGAGTTTTTTAAAATATGTGTTAAAAATTAATGTTGTTATTTTATATCAACGGGTGACGGGGGGGTTGCTATTTTCAGCTAAGCTTTCTTTTAAAATAATAAAAAGGCTTCATACTCATTAAAGATTTATGCAAGTGCAATGCCCTTCATTCAATTAACTCTCCCAGTATAGTCCCAAGCACACAGAAACATACCCTTCGAGAGCTTCGCTCTGCAAAATTATTTGTGCTCAGTGTTCTTAACCTAGAATATATTTACTGAACCCACTTGTTTTCTTTGAGGTGTTCATATAATTTAGTGCATTGATCTACTCTGATATATCCTCATTATGCCTGCATTTGTGAGGAAACATGCATGTGAACAGGGCTTCAGTCTTCAGTCATGTTAAACTACCATAGATTCATTCAAGAAGCTGGAGTCATATGCAAAATACCATCTTCTTAAGGAAGGTCCTTTGTTGTGTTAACACTGACAAGGCACAAAGGCTCCACCCCAGCTGGGAGAGATTGCAACACAAGGTTAAATGTTAAATGGTTAAAGGCTGACACACATGTATACATGGAAACATATTTCACACTCAAGTGCCAGATCTTTTCTGGGCTGTGGTAAACACAACTTTATTTCTTTGCTAACCTTGCTTTCTTCACCTGCTCAGGCATTGAGATTTCCTAAAAGAGGGAACAACCTGACTAATTACTCACATGTCTTTCTATTGTTTCTCATTCCACTACATTTGACTGTGCCAGATTAATAAAGCACCCCTCCTTCCTCCTACCACACAAATACCTCCTCTTGTACATCACACGCCTAACAGCACGGTCCCAGGTGTGTGTCTCACACACATTTGTCAATAAGGTGATGAGGCGCAACACACAGCTACCTAGCCAATAGTCAGCTAATACGCAATTCTCTTTGCTATCCACGTACTCAGTATTCCTGGTGTTATGGCACAGCATCAGCAGACACAGTAATGAATTCATAAATTCCTGATCCTGAATTCATCCTGATAGGAGGTCTCTCCTGCATTTCTCTCTGCCCCGGGGGAGAGGAACTGCATTTTTCTTGTTTGTGGCTTGCAAAGGATAAAATTTTAATGATGCATTTTGACACTTGTCTGCAGAAATAAAGCTGTTTTAAAATCACGAAAGTGGTTTATTGAATTGAGCCCACTGAAGTGTGGCCAGTTACAAAAATCTAGTGTCACCCCCATGTCCAGCAGAAGAGCTAAATGGGAAATCTAAACGCGTGGTTCTTGTATGTATTAATTTATCAAACATTCATAAACAGCACCTCTGTGGTCATCATATCTGGCCTCAATTAACTCCTTGACCTTCAAACGCTTAAAGAGAACGATGTAGAAAATGAATGAATCTGAAAAGAAGCTCACCATTCCTTTCCACTGCTCTATAAATAAAGCAAAGGAGTTGCGCCCCTCCATGCCAGGCTGTGGGTGTGTGGTTGCTATGGTTCCCAGTGGGGGTTTGTGTGCCATGTGTTTCAGGGATCGGTGTGCTGGGCAGCAGCTATGGTCCAGTGTTTGAGGAGCAGCCTTCCAGCCTCCTTTTCCCAGATGGGCTGACGGACGAGAAGATCACGTTGGCGTGCCGAGCGAGAGCCAGCCCCCCTGCCACCTACAGGTGAGTAGAAATCCAGTAGGGGCCATTGTTTCCTGATGGTGGAATATCCATGCTTGCGTTCCCAGAAAGCCACTGACTACTGATGAGAGTTGTGGCTACCTCTAGGAGTCCTAGTGCACAAAATGGCACCACACTCCAACTGGAATGCCAGTCCATTACATGGCATACACACGGGCAAATTAAGAAATCAATATTTAGTATTTTTAATAATAAATTGCTTAGAAGATGTCTATGTCTGGGACAGCTTACAAAAGCATAAATGAAATTGACTTGTCCTTGACCAGTATGTATATGACATTTACCGTAACAGTCATGAACATCAGCAGGATGGGGGACATGATGTGAGGGGATGGAGGTAATCAGGTGGAAGTGGAAAAAGAGGAGGAGCAGAGAAAGTGTGGAGGTGGACAGAGACATTAGGGATAGAAAAAAGGTACCACTTTTACCACACATCATAAATCATAAGTCAACAGTTATTCTGTTTTAATTGAGGATTTTCGGATAGTACAGCAGGAGACTTTTCAGCACTAGGTGCTGGAAATGAAACTTTGCAAGTTTTTAATGAATTTCTGTAAAATGTCAATGCTTTTCTCTTCCACCGGTGTAACCTAAGCATTTGCCTGTAGCTTGCTAAATTTCTAACAGGTGAAATGGCTGTATGCTAGCAGTCTTACTTCCAATTTCAACATAAGAAAACACAGAGTGCTAAACACCGTAATGAGCTAATGCCTGCTCTGGGTACAGGGGGCTAATTGCATTAAATATGTCCTTCCTTCAAAGTTAACTTTTCTGAAGTTTTGGAGACATGCTAAATGTTGTTGAGAGACGCATGGGTTTGTTTTTAAAGACTACTGTGATGTCAGCATGCACAATGCAAGAGCTTAATGACAATGACCTCTGGAAAGCAGAGCAACCCAGCGGCCACGGCCACACAAAACCAGCCCCCGTGGTGCGTGTGTGCATGTGTGCCCCGACGCCAGAGCCCAGTCGGGAAGGTGAAAGGCAGACAAGAACCTGCCCTGTGTTATTTTCACGCTCTTTCTCTGCAGCTGGAAGGTGAATGGCTCGGACGTGCAGGTGGGGAGCGAGCCACGCTATGCCCTTGTGGCTGGAAACTTGGTGATCAGCTCCCCCCAGCGAGGGAAGGACAGCGGCTCCTACCAGTGCCTGGCCACCAACCCCAGCGGCACCATCATCAGCCGCGAGGCCAGCCTGAGGTTTGGCTGTGAGTGTCTCACTTTGTTTCCTGGTGTCTCAGTGCCTCCCGTGACCACAGAATTATGTTCTTCACAGCTATTATTCAGTTAAGGAAAAGATTTGAGTAGCAAATCGGCACTCAAGCTGCTGCAACAGCATAATCAGGACACTGTCTCTCTTTCTATATGGGCGTGGAATCTTTCTGGATCACAAAGGCGATACAGACATCTTCTGCAGTTCTAGTAAATGTATCACTCCAGTGAAGGCACCCCCATAGATTGCATTTTATCGGAGTGACCATCCTCAATGCATATGAGTCTATTAATTAATGGTAGTTTTATTGCGGTGTTTGCATGTGAACAAATATTCTGACATTGTGATGTGTTCCCCCTGCTATTGCATTTCAGATCTCCATGAGTTCCCTCCAGATGACAGAAGCCTCCAGACTGTGTATGAGGGAGCAGGAACCATGATTCCCTGTCACCCACCTTCTCACTACCCAGGTAACCAGGCACCCTGATGCCTTATCACCCACCCTTTCACTAACCAGGAACGCTGATGCCTTGTCTCCAGCCCCCTCACTCACTACCCAGGTAACCAGGCACCCTGATGCCCTATCACCCACCCTTTCGTCAGCCAGGAACGCTGATACCCTGTCTCCAGCCCCCTCACTCACTACCCAGGTAGCCATTGTGCTCAGCCACAGCGCAGTCAGAGCCTGGCCCTGATCAGAACAGTTTGGAGAGAAGATGTGAAGACACAACATACCCCTCAAGAAGATAAATTGAAAATAGTCACTCAGATGCTTTTCTTTTTTCTCCTTTTCTTTGTTGACACATCCTTACTACAAATATTTGAAAAAGAGAAACTCCACACAGATGCCGTTTAATTGCAGATCCGCTAGACTGAATGGATTGTGAAAGAACAAATGGAGATGAGAAGCAATGCAAGGCACTGTTTGTGACTGCAAAGAGTAGTTTTATCACATGAGCACACATAGCCAAGTGGTACTCTGTGAGCCGTTCAGTTTTTTTATGAAATTGTACAGCTTTTTCCTGGGGCTGTGCACTTCAAACTAATTAAATTCAATTAAATGTTTTATCCTTCATGTTCAGCTACAATATTACCAGTCCAGTATTTGTTGCAGGCAACAAAGCATCACCCACTCCAGTGCTTCCTGTCTTCCTGAAAGGGCAGTACTTCCAACTTCCAGGCAGGGATCTAAATAGGACTACAGGGTGCTGTGCAATACTGTAACAATACAAGCAAAAACAATTAAATGCACATTTCTTAAATTCAATTTAAATACCATGGCTGTCTAAGTCCAAATAAGGGTGGGAAGCCTGCAGATGATAGAACTGGAAATGTGTCACATTTGCTGTATGAGATTGAAGCAGTTATTAACGTATTTCAGTGCGCTTTCAGGATTTTACAAAAAAGTTCCTTCCCCTTCTGCCTTGCAGCCCTGTCCTATCGCTGGTTTTTCAATGAGTTTCCTACCTTCATCCAGCCAGACAGGGGCCGCTGGTTTGTCTCCCAGGCAACAGGGAACCTGTACCTCTCCAGGGCAGAGCCCAATGACACGGGCAACTACTTCTGCTTCGCCACCAACAACATGGAGCTCAGCATCAAGAGCGTCTTCAGCAAGCCCAACCAGCTCAACGTGCTTCCTGATGGTCTGAGTGCAGTTCATCATAAGCAGACATGTTTTCCCTTTTCATTTCCTTAAAAAACGCTGTGTATGAAGAGCTCTCATAGATTTTCTATTGGCAAGGAATTTCTAATCACAATGCTAGATGTTTGAAAATTTTCTTGCTACAGTATGGGTTGTTATGATTTTTTTTTCTAATACTTGAAATTGAAGGTGAGTGGACAACTTTTAATTTTATCTCCTTGTATCTCTTGGTCTCTCCAGCCACTCCCAGGAAATCTTCTCCTAACATTAAAGTGCGCTTCCCATCAGACACGTATGCTCTGGCTGGCCAGTCTCTGCAGCTGGAGTGCTTCGCTTATGGCAAGTGAGTATCTAGCAGACTCGACTTGACTCAAGAGAATGATGGGGGAATCACAGCTGCTTTTGGAAAAAGAAACATGCCTTGCTGGATAGATATCACCCACGCTACACACAGCAGTCTCTAGGTTGAGAAACCAGCCATCTTCCACACAGCTCAGTTTGGGCTGGGTTTCTTGTGGTAGCATTCACAGTATGAATAGTCACCTAACACTATAGATTAAAATATATATTGCAGATTATATATAGCAGCTTCTCAAAGAGCAACTAAAAGTTGGTTCAGCATTAAAATCCAGGTGTACAGTATGTTATGGTACAATTTAACTAAATAATTTCACTATTGTATGCATGAATAGAATATTTGTCAAAGCTGGATGAGTATACTATTGTTAAGTGCCTGATGTTCAAATTAATTTGTATTTTGGAAATCGGTATTTATGAACCATGGTTTAGGCCTTTAAAAGGTTTGTTAAGTGCTTGTGACAGATATTTGACCATACCAAGCTTCTTCAGCCACACTAGTTTGTGCAGTCTCCATCTGTGATCTGCTTTCTTCAGTTTTCTCCATCAATGGTCTGTGATGACCACCCCCAGATCACACAATCATTTTCATTTTCTCTCACCGTTTTGACTCTGGGTTGGTATTGCTATCCTATTGTTACACCTATTTGTAACCCAGTGGGGGTTCTCTATGTCCACACAGAAGGTGTGAACATAGAGAAGCACAGGGGGAATCCTATGTCCTTCAACTCTAACTCCAGGATGAGAGTTTACAAGAAAAGGACAGAGCAGGTGTGTTTTTCTTCTTTCCCCAAGGGATGACATTCTTGTTCAATTCTGTCCTTGCTTCCCTGCCGTACCCCCCCCACCCCCCCTAACATTCCAGCCCTGTGCCCAAGCTGCGGTGGCGGAAGGTGGATGGCACTGTGCCCCCCAAGGCCCTGGGTAGCATGGACGGGCCCATCCTGCACCTGCCCGAGCTGGATTTCATGGACGAGGGCGTGTACGAGTGTGAGGCACGCAACTCTGAGGGCCGAGACACCTACCAGGGCCGCATTACTGTGCAAGGTACTCCAGTGGCCTGGGGACCACACTCTGCTTCCGGCCTCCTCTGTGCATAAAGGACTGCTTGTGCACTGTAGGCTATCCAGTACCCAGGAATGTACTGTATGTCTCCAGGAAGCTCTGAATTACTCCCCTGAGAATAAGAATGGAACTGATATGTGCCACAATACTCATAGTTTTGCACGATCCCCACATTGACTACACAGGAAAATTCCTACTAAACCTTGAAGAATATAAAGGAGAAACACACAGATTCAGGCATTTGTATTCCCTTCTGAATTTACTTAATCAAAGCAGGAATACTTTATCTCTTAAAGTGCTCCTTGCAGTTAAACGTAATTGCTTTCAGAATAAATGTGAACATTTTCACGCAATGAGTTGAAAATACATCATTACAAGTAGCAAAAAGAATAGCTGGAGACCAATCTGTACACTTGAAGAGAGGTGAGAAGACTGGCAGACACCTAGAGGGTAATTCATGCACTAGCTCTTGTGTTTAATCAGGAGCCTTATTAAGTAGCATGGCATAGCGTGAACCTTGCATTTCGACAGATGTCATTTAGATTCATTTAGAATAGACCCTCCACTCCCTTTGTCAGATTATGTAAGATGAAGTCAATGAAAGGTGAACTGAGTTATGCCAAATCGTCTCAGTTCTTCCTGTTTCCTCTCCCTGGGCCTTCAGCCCAGCCGGAGTGGCTGCAGGTGATGAGTGACTCCGAGGTGGAAATCAGCTCGGAGCTGCGCTGGAGCTGCGCGGCGGCAGGAAAACCCCGGCCCTCCATCCGATGGCTGCGGAACGGCCAGCCACTCGCCTCCCAGGTACCGGCAGTGCAGTTACACATTTTTCTCACATTGGGATTTACTAACACATGTTTCTTACACTCCTGGGGACATAAGCTTTAAGTACAGTTACACATAATTCAAAAATACCACAAACTATTGTATCATTGAAAAATCAGTTTTTACATCCACAATCTCCAGGGTGAAATGGGTGACATCTGTTGGAAATCGCTGCATTCCTTTCTGAGATAGACCAGTAAATCTGTATTCTCTTACTGTATCCTGGTTGTCCAGGTGTAAACAGCATTTTTGTCCTCCTAGATAGTGCACGATTATCAAATGTAATGTGTGTATCTTTTTACTTATCTCTTGTCTCTCCAGGACCGTATTGAGGTCAATGCTGGACAGCTGAGGTTCTCAAACCTGTCCCTTGAGGATTCTGGGATGTATCAATGTGTGGCAGAGAACAAGCATGGCACCATTTATGCCAACGCAGAACTGAAGGTGCAAGGTGAGAGGTCAGGGAGGTCACCTCGAGATGAACTGCTACTTTAAGACTGACAACATTCACACTTTTTTAACATGTTCCTGTTCTCTTTGCTTTTGGTCACCACATTTCATCACAAAGATCCCAAAGCACTTTAAATAGATGAAGGGATCCACTTTACCTGCTACTATTGCTGGGTCAAGTGCAGCTTTAAGTGCCAGAAGCCCCACTACACAGCAGGTCTGGTTTAGAAGTGAGAAATTATTTTTACTAATTAAATTAAGGGATGAAATTAGATAGGGCACATTGAGGAAACCTAAAGGAGAATTTATTTAAACACAAGGGTTAGCACCCCTGATCTTGTGAACAGTGCCATGGGTTCTATAATGATCAAATAGTCAGGACCTCAGTTTAAAGTCTCTTCTGAAGGAAAGATCCTCCAACAGCGCAATGTCCCCAGTCACCATACTGGGGCACTGGCTTGGAAACAAAGCACCAGTGCTCCTCATGACAATTGCCCATCACTGGGCCAATCATACCATGTTATCTGGACTGATATTCTGTTTCTCCTTTCTACTCTGGTCCTGGATAAACAAGCAGCAAAACTCAGGACTCCTGGAGAGGAATTTGGGTTAAGAGAGCAGTGCTGCACAGACAATAATGAGCTGCGATATCCAAAACACACTTAACGTTACATCTCAGATGAAGCTGTGCCCCCCATTTCTAATGCTATCCTCTCCACTTATTTAATCTTTTGTCTTCTGCTCTTTCCTCCTTCCGTGCCTTTGTTCCGGTCGCAGTCCAGGCTCCAGATTTCCGGCTGAGCCCTGTGCGCCGCTTGACCCCATCGGCACGGGGGGGCCAGGTGAAGATGGAGTGTCGCCCGAGGGCTGCGCCCCGGCCTGTCCTGTTCTGGAGCCGTGGGACGGAGATCCTGTCCAACAACAGCCGGTGAGGCCTGAGATATCTCCCCTAGCTGGCTCTGTGGCTAAGGATCCGCGCATGCGACTGGAAGGATCCGCGGCCGGCAGAGGAATCCTACACAGTTGGGCCCCTGAGCAAGGCCCTTAACCCCAACTGTTCCAGGGGTGCCGTCTAAAATTGCTGACCCTGCGCTCTGTATAAGGCCCCAGTATAAGTGTGGTAATTGATTGATGTTATCTGAGTGCTGGGATTTTCCTGCAGGGTGACAGTCACTCCAGATGGGAGCCTCTGGATCCAGAATATCAGCCGTTCGGATGAGGGGAAGTACACGTGTTTTGCAGAAAACTTCCTTGGGAAAGCGAACAGCACAGGATTTCTCTCTGTCCGAGGTACAGCAGCCTGTCCTCTCTCCTGATTGATTATTGATTACAGTTGTTAACTGAGCACTGTCCTCTCTTCTGGCTTGTTTCCAGTGTGACAATTGTGACAATTCCATTGTGAGTGTTTTTGATTTAGAAACATTCAGACTTTTGTTCACTCACAGAATAACAGATAATGTCACACAGATAATGAAAAAATAAATCTGTGTAGAATTTGTTTGGAAATTTAAGTTAAATGTTAAGAAAGATATTACCTCTAACATGGGATATTTAACACTTTATAATTGCATAACATCAGATGTAACCAGCAGGTGTTTCAGGTCAAGTGCAAATGTGCTCCTCTGTTTCAGCCTTTCAGTGTCTAAATGTTACAGATAATTTTTAAACTAAATTCTTTTAACATTTCTATTGCACTATATTTTTTCCAGGAAATCTGTCGCAAATTCTACTGTTAAGAAATCGTCCAGTCTGTTCCCAGAGAACTATAGTGTTTTCTGGCTGTGACTTTTGCTCACCCTCTCTCCTTACCCATAGAAGCCACCAAAATTACACTTGTGCCTTCCAACGCTGACATCAACCAGGGGGAGAATGTGACCTTGCAGTGCCATGCGTCACATGACCCCACCATGGACCTCACTTTCACCTGGTCCATGAACGGAATCCTCCTGGACACAGAGGACGCCAGCCGGCACTTCCATCGCGTAGAGGGGGTGAGTCTTGCTGCAGCAAGCACTCAGTCAATAGTCAGTAGAGGTGAACAACGGATTGACGCCCTTTCCTAAACAAAGGCAACCAAACTCAAATTGGATCAGGGGAGAGGTACATTGTGAATAGCTCTCAGTTGTTTAACTCATGTTATCAATTGATTAATTGGTGAAGCTTAGCAATATATCCAAAGACATGCAAGGAAATGACCACTTTGAGTATGATCTTATGTTATTTAAATAAAAAGGGGATTCTAGATGAAAAAATGCTGCAACCTTCCAGGAATGGAGATGTCCACTTCTGATGTAAGAAACGTCTTGCAAAATTGACTGAATTGCAAAGCCTTCGGTTTGTTACTATAATTCCTAAATGAATGATTAAGGCCGATCCAAGAATAGTGCCAGTGTGACCAGGATTGGTGTTGGGCTGGGCCTTAGCCTTGAATTCTAGTGCAACTCCCACAGCTACTGATTGCCTACAGGCTTGCAGTGATGTCAGTGAGAGATGCACGTCTCCTATCACCTATCAGCACTAACCCTCCTGCCTGGCACTGTGGCACTCACAGTGTGTCAAACGCTGAATGACTGTGATAAATGGGTATGTCAGAGGAGCATGTCAGCTAGTTCTCCTTCTCCCAGTGCAGTCCAGCAGTCTCTGCCTGAAAATGAAACCTTAAATAACTGGCCATTCCAAATTGCCTCTCTCCTCAGAAAGAGACTGTGGGAGACCTGATGATTGTAAGTGGCCAGCTGGGGCATGCTGGGATATACAAGTGCACAGCGCAGACAGTGGTGGACAGTGCCTCAGCATCCGCAAGGCTTGTGGTCAGAGGTAAAATCTAAGCAATGAATTTAAGGCATAGCCTTGAGGTGCCTGTCGTCTGGTGTACATCTGAAAATAAATGGATGGCACAAAACCCACTTGAATAAGAATTGACATAAGTGTATAATTCCTGATTCCTGTTCTGTCTTAAAAAAAACTTTCCTGAATATTATCAGTAGATATATGTATCTCTATGCATTATGAGTTACTACAGAACCACTACACTACCATCTAATCTACTGTAGGATTATTTAAATGTCACACCTTACAATCTTTCCTCTTTCCACTATTTAATTACAGAAGTAAGAATCATAACAATTAACAGTTTTTAAAAAGTTGACATAAAACAAAAAAAAGCTGTAGATCCAAAAACGAGAGTGCAGTAAAAGTGAGGCTGCCTCCTTGCAGCTTAATGAGTTGGGTAGAAGACCAACATCAGTCAACCTTCCTTGCTTTTCTGTCTGTTGCAGGTCCTCCTGGGCCACCAGGGGGCGTAGTTGTAAAGGACATGAACGAGACGTCGGTAGAACTAAGGTGGAGTCGAGGTTATGACAACCACAGCCCAATTGGGAAGTACACAATTGAGGGCAGGTCGCCCCTCTCTGAGGCCTGGAAACAGATGCGAACAGGTGCGCTACAGAGGAGAACCAGGGCTGAACAGAACTGCTGGACATTCAGTATTCACTTACTACATTGGGGAGATACAATTGTGCAAATCCAAGTAAATAGGAACAACACCACAGTTTGACAGTCAGGAAACAAACATTAATTATAAGAGACAAACTGACAGGTTTGGGTTCATAGTCCCATCATAAATTGGAATGGAGATCCATTAATGAAAAGATCATGCTGTTGTACAACACTGCATGACTATGGTTATTTTGATTTGACAGTTAGATGCTCTTAAGTATGTTGTCTAAACCACAGCTAAAAAAAAAACATCCATAGCAGTTTATTCTGAAGTACAGTTTTAGGTTTTCCTAATCAAGAAGTCAAGAAGTGTTTTTATGTAGCCCTGGGTGTGTGTGCATACGATTTACACAGATCAATCTGATTAGGGCTGTGTGCTGCAGAGAAGAACATGAATCCTGTGGTTGCAGGGTTAACAGTTGCCCTCTGACTTGACAGATCCAGCCAACATTGAGGGCAACGCTGAGTCTGCCCATGTGATTGGGCTCATGCCCTGGATGGACTATGAGTTCAGGGTGATCGCCAGCAACATCCTAGGCAGCGGAGAACCCAGCATGGCATCGCAGAAGGTCCGAACACGACCTGCAGGTCAGAACAATGAGTGGGAGCAGGCAGGCTATTGAATCTGGGCTCGTGAGTTACCGGCATCCATCCTCATCCAACGATGAAGAAGTTTTATTCAGATATAAAATGCATGTTTGGTGTTACCCAAGTGCTTCTCGAATGGGGAAGACACTACCACAATCCTGGATTAAGATGATAATTTTTAATTCTGAATTTATACAAAATATATACAGTTGACTCACAACACTGTCGCAGCTTTAAGAGGTTGGTTCCAGATATGAAAAATGATTGAAAAAATGCTTTAGTCTCTGAAAAATTAGTCAAGCATGCCCACAAGACCTAGTCATTTACTTTTATTCACTGTTTTGGTGTTTATATTTAATGTCTTGATATAAGGTTAAATCTGAGGGTAAAATTGATATTGTCTTCATACAGGGTAAAATAAGACTATACATGAATTTGGGTTTACGTGCTACTCAAAATCCCTAACCCCCACATAAATGATGAGTCGACTAATCAGGGTATATGCCATAGAGAGGTGTATGGTTCCAATGATGCATTTTTGTCTTTCTCACTTGACACAGTGTTGGGAATTTTTTGTGTTAAAATTTGCCTTGGCACTCATTCACAGTTACACATTCTGCAAAGTGCTGCAAGCTGTTCAGTGTAGTGATGAGGCAGGTGAACGTTCTTGACGATGGAGATCTGGAAGTCTGCCTGTATGATCTTTTATCAGCTTTATCGTCTCTCCATGTGACTGTCCCCTGGTGTGCTAACACTGCGCTGTTGTTCATCAGCTCCCATGGTTGCCCCTAGTGGACTTGGTGGAGGTGGTGGAGACCGACATGAGCTCATCATTACTTGGACTGTGAGTGCGTCATTGATATTGTCTGGAATTCACTACCGTTCCACTGCTATTGCTTCAATTTTCAATTTTCTTACCCTTGATTGCAATTTACAAATTGCAAATATTCTGTAATAAGTCCTTACATCATCCTGCTGATTCACTACATCTTATTTACTCTGAATTGTCATTATAGTCTCTCACCACCCACACCAAACTATTTCAGTCAATGCATTTTGACATTATACTCTTTGATCAGCCCAATTAAATATTGGTTGAAACAACACTGACACAGCAATTTGTAATAAGAAAACTGCCCATCATCTAGTAAATACTGTAGATGTTGAGACTTCAAGAACTGTTGCTTGATCAGTTAAGGGATTTGAAGTAGTATTAAAATTTAAAGAGATTAGAATTGTGATAAACATTTAACTCTATTGGGGGAGTGTTATGTTGCACGTGTATTTTAATCCCCCAGGCACAGAATTATGTAATTTAGGGTAATTTTTCCAACAATTATGATAGTCTATACCTGATCATGCCATTGAGTGGAGTAAGTGCTAGCTAAGAAGCTTTATCAGAGTGTCAGTGTACAATTTCAAAGACAACGAGGATCAAGGAATGTCTTAAAACAAGCATTGAGCATTGAGTTTTGGTACTTGAATGTTCTAAACGTTTATACGCCCATCATCTTTTGTGGTCTGACCTTGAAGGATAAAGAGATTCTCTGGTGTCTTTCTGAAATCATGTTGTTCCAGTCCATGGCTCGAGAGTACCAGAATGGAGAAAAGTTTGGCTACATCCTGGCCTTCCGGAAGAAAGCAGCACCACAGTGGCACATTGTCAAGGTGCCCAATGTGGAGTCATCTCGCTTTGTGTACCACAACGAGAGCCTGGCAGCATACTGCCCCTTCGAGGTGAAGATCAAGGCCTACAACGAGAAGGGTGAAGGCCCCTTCAGCCAGACGGCTCTGGTCTACTCTGCAGAGGAAGGTGAGGGGAGGGATGGACAAGGAGGAGCAGGGATGCAGGGTGGGGACCTAGGTGCTTGGAGAGCGATGTAACCTGGGGAACTGGTTTGAGTTTTGAGTGACTTGGTGTAAACAACAATGACAGTAGTAGGACAATGAACAGGTCGTAATTAAGAGGTGAGGACATTCGTATCATGGTATGAAACAACCTTACAAGCATCAAATCTTAGTTATCTTAGTTAAAGAAATTCCTGCATCAGATGCACAGTTCAACATCTCTTATGACTGATGATAGAAAATCTGTGCTTGATTTAATATAAAATCTAAAACATTTGGAGGCCCTGAAAGAAGTGTTTTGTTTATTCAGGGAATTAAATGGTCACTTAATTCATTCTACATTCAGGTGGTGGAACAAGACCCGTCTTGCTGTTGCTGGAACAAATGATTTGTTTGTGTATTTGCAATTTTACACTAGAGGGCGTTGTCAAACACAGGCTGACATTCTGCAAGGAAACAGAAGCAGTTCAGTGTCTGTGAATAAAATAGCTTCAGCCTAAGGGCTGAAAATGGTACAAATTAGTGACAGTGTATAGTAACAAAAATAGATTGGTGATGTAAAATGTATCCTGGTAGCCTCGTGGATGTGTAGAGAGGAGCAATCATTTAGTTGAGGCTAGTAAATGTGACGGATGAACTGCTACAACTCTTCATATGGACCATTCATGTATGATTTGCCTTGAGTTTCCAGATTGAAGATCCTGATCAGTGTGACTTGAAGACTGCCCTGCAGGGTGTGCTTTCACCAAGCTGCTCTCAAGGGCTGACCTTGGAGCTCTGCTGGGCATTTTATTTCTGCATGCAGCAACAGCACAGGCCAACCTGATGTCTTATCATTTATTATCTGCTTATTGTTTCTAATGTCATAAACTCACTTTGATTCAATCCCCCCCCCCACCAGAGCCCACTGAGACTCCTCGAAGAGTCAACGCCACCAGCCTGTCGGCCTTCGAGATCCAGGTGTCCTGGGAGCCCCTGCAGCACCTGTCCACCAACGGCATCCTGAGAGGATATGAGGTCAGGCACCATGGAGGTGGACTTTTTGTAACTTTTTTCCCGTAAAGATTTGATTTTCCAGTTCCCTGGGGGGGAAGGATACACTCCTGTATTGTTGTGCAGTTTAGCCAGGTTTAGTCATTTATATAACGGAATTTTGCTGCTCTTCCTGGCATCTTGTAAAGATGCTCATACTACTCCTGTATTCGTTTATGATTATACGAAGATTTCAGTGTGCTCAGTTCCAGCTTGATCCCTATTAACCGTGGTAACCACATACAGTACCATAGTACATTTTCATTTAACACTTTCATTTCAGGTTACTCTAGGAAGGCACAGCACTTAAACATTAAGACAGAAAACACCTTATTCTAATCAGACTTGCACCAATATTAAACACAAGGAAGAGCACACTGGTATGGAAATACTCATAATGGGGACTGTGGTACAGGTACATTGTTTTTGAAGAGCAGAGGAGATAGAGATGACCAACTCTGTCACTGGAGGTGGAAGAAAGCACTCCATGAGCCCATCTTTAAGCATGTTTTTCACAGAACGAGATTTGAATGTATTTCTGGGATCAGCAGTTTCTTTTCATGCTGTGTTATAGCTGAAAAGTCAAGGCCTTGGATCAGAGCCATACAACTTTCTGTCCACTGCAGCATGAACCCCTGCCAGACAGCAACGGCACGCATGATAATGGGGGGCAGAGTTCCATTGCTCTGATTAGTAGGAGAGAAGCTGAGCCAGTTGGATGAGATAATATTTTCAGTGGGGCAGTGGCATTCCCAAAGTGCTTGTCTGAGAGCTCAATGTGCCTTCCAGAGAGATATCAACTCCACTCTCACCTCATTAGATAAATAATAATACATCACGTGGGCCATTTTGGCTATCTGTAACAATTTGATAGTATTTTCCCTTTAGTGGACACAAAAGTGTTATTAAAGTTAATTTTGAAATTGACCTGCATCAAGCTGAATGTCTTCCACTCACTGAGCAACAGTGACTCCTTGTGGTTACCCAATAGCACATAGGCTTGCAGTGTCCAAAGCAAGAGTTGGCCATGTTATATATTAAAAACATGGACTCGGCTGTAGATTTCACCTCTCTAAGTCAAAAAGGCAGAAGTGTTTTGGAGCAATGCTGGTCCAAGGGTCACATCAATAAAGCCGATTAACAATTGATTATTTCAAACCAGGGCATATAAAATGAGAATTGCACTATGGTGCCACAAGTTGCTGCTCTCCGATTGGCTATCTGACACTGAACCCATCATGTTATCCTGGTGTAACATCATACATGAAATTGCCTGATTTTTCACAACGCTCTTTCTAACCAAACAACTGTAGAACAGCAACACCTTTCTGTAGGTTTGTCTGTTATATTTGTTATAAATTATTGAATGCTATAATTTGATTTGTCATCAATTATTAGAAAACTACCAAAACTATTTTGTTTCATGAGTGGGTTAGTGATATTATATGGAGGCTTGTTCTGTCAAAACTAGTCTTTGTATAATAGGAAGAACTCTGTGCAGGATGTCTGTAGCACTGGGATAACCTTGCTCACAACTTTGTTATGCATTCTACCTAAAGGCCAATACCAACTATTAGAAAATATTAGAAAGGTGAGTTAATCCCAGATGGGTTTGGAATTCTCCCATTTTTTGGACCTCAGGTTACTCCGATGGCCAGTGTATATGGTTTGTGAAAGCCGTCGTTTTCCTAACGCTGTGGTGTTCTGACCTCCTGTGCCAGATCCGATACTGGAGGCAGAACGAGAAGGAGGCCGCGGCAGACAGGGTGCGGACCATGGGGCTGGAGACGGTAGCACGAGTCTCGGGCCTGAGGCCCAGCACCCTCTACCACGTCACCGTCCTGGCGTACAACAGCGCGGGCACTGGGCCGCCCAGCCCCTTCACCAACGTCACCACCAAGAAACCCCGTAAGACAAGCCCTCTTTGTGAAGTGTTACCATGGCACCGTTCCCCCGCAATGCTGTAACTTGCTTCCACTGTGCTTTTCACAGGGCTTCACCTAGTAGAGGAGTTTATTGCCATATGTACATGTGCATTAGAATTGGTATTCGCTTTGCTCCTATTTACCTCACTAGACTAGAGAATGTCAACACTATTATATACTCATACTGAATCTCAGCATAGTGGTAAAAGGTAGTCTGTGGCTCTGGAAATGCTTACTGTTAAAGACTCTGCTATTATATCAAGTTGATATTGTTAAGTACATCAATGGTGTGGTAACACTACTGTGGAACAAATGGAAAACAGAGCATTTTACCATACAAAGATAGAATTACCTAGGGAATTTAGCGAGATAAAATTTTGTTTAAAATTCCCTTTGCACCCTGAGCCACATTTTCTAAATAAGGTGGCTGGTGAGGCTTGAGCGCATGAAAACATACAGTGAAATATGGTGCTACAGGCTTTATTCAAGCAAAATCAACCACCCAAGCTAAAACCCAGCCACCAATCACCACCTTATATCCCAAACACAACTAATCACACCCATGTTCATTAATCCTCCATCATTATCCTTTTTATTTGGTAATTCACCTTAGGTCTGTCTATAAAGAGAAATTAGAGGCCTTGAGTGGAAAGTCAGCAACTACCACCTTCTCCCTAGTGTGCAAATTCTGGCTCTGGCTGGATAAAGTTACCGATATTTGACGTCCACACTGATGGGAAGCAATTTTCATGTCTTGTCACAGATACATGCGGGTGAAAACTTTTTCAAGACGCTTGCCTGTGAGTTGTCTCTTCCGAAATGGAAACATAACAAAGTCATGCAACTCAGTGAATGACTTATCCATTTCATCTTAAAAAAAAGGAAAATTAATAATTTTTTTAGGAATATAAGACTTTTTAAAATTAGGTAGGCAATTTGTTACTGTATTTCCAGCTTGTTTTGGTCTAAAAGGATGCTAACCGACCTCTGTGCGGTGTGTTTAGCCCCAAGCCGAGCGCCAGACAATGTCTCGTGGAGGATTGATGGATCATGGGTAACAGTGGCCTGGGATCATGTCAAGCCTCTGAAGAATGAGTCAGCAGTGTTGGGGTACAAGGTGAGTGACCACAAGACGCCTGATAAAGAGGAAAGAGAAGGGGGGGATTGGATGTGTGGGTATTGTGGTGGGATTTCTATTTCACTTCAGTCATCAATCAATATGACCTTTCTCCTTCCTGTAGCTGATTAGGTCACTCTGGCACCCCTGACTTGTGTCTGTGCTGGTGCAAGCAGAGTCTATTCTCTTCGCTTGTACTCTCCAGACACCACTTTCACACTGGAACAACACATTGAGAGCGGCCTAACTTTTTTCATAGTGACAGAGCAGTATTTTCCTGCAGGACGAGACATTTATTTGCTTTAGAGATAATCTTTTGAGGTTTCTACTTTCTGAAGCAAATTGTAACATCAAATATTGGGTCTATTGGTGTCTAGATGATGTTAGCTAGGGTCCAAAAACAATGCATTTGTATGGAATGTCCCACCATCCTGAATGTTGAAGTTAATTATGTACCTTATTTGCCCTGTTGATGTATTTTGTCTGGTCAGCTTGTCTTACTGGTGTCTTTATAGCTCCAGCAGTTAAAGAATTGGTGGAAATTGAGACATGTGAACCCATAAGTAGTCAATCAGCTAAATGCTTAGTCATGTTGTACAGGGAGGCCAGTGTTAAGTACACCTAGGGCCCAAATTGCATGTTCAGTTGACTGTTTAAAGCATTCGTATTTTCCCACAGGCAAAATACAGACTCCTGGGTAACATTTTAACAGTTCAATCCACACATCAAGCATTATAAATACATTAAAGACAAATTCTCAGCACTCAAATGTGTATTAATAAAAATTACGTCTCAGGATAATCATACTGCTGTTAATAAACTTGCAATTAACCATTAGCAAAGGTCAATTACAACTATACACTCTATTAATTCTTATAACCTGTAGCATAAGAAAGAGTTTATAAGAAACATGAAGGAAGGTTAAAATTTGTTCTATTTAATCGAAACCTTGACAGACTGCTGGAGAAAAAACATTAGAATCTCTCCATTTTGAAGCACCTGCTGCATATTCTGTCCAAGACTAGATTTTAAAAAGCACCTCAGGGGAGCTCAGACAGTAACAATGCTGGTTTGAGCATGGGATATTTCTCTCCCCAAGTGACAGTGCACACCTGGACTTGCAGGACAGAGAGAAATATCCCAATGGCCTCACCAGATTCAGAGATGAAAGATGAGCCACAGAGAACTGCACGCGCTCTCAACATCCACCAGCACAGAGCTCGAGGAGAGGACGCCAGCTCGAGTCCGGGTGGTCTATGGGCGCCGTGCGGGTCCCACCCGCCCGGGTGGGCATCGGCCAGCCCTCTCACTGCCCGCCCGCCCGTGTCTGGCAGGTTCTCTACAAGCACGAGGGCCAGACGGCGCTGAAGGTGCTGGAGAAGGGCAAGGCCTCGGTGAGGCTCCCCCTGCCCCAAGACAACGGCTACGTGGTGCTGGAGATCCGGGCCTGGGGGGAGGGAGGCGACGGGGCGCCTCACGAGCTCATCGTGTCCAGGGATTCGGGTGAGGAGAGCGGGAGGTAGAGGAGGGTGAACCGGGAAGAAAGACCAGGACACCTTCCTCTCCAGATTTGAGGTCAACGCAAGCAATATAAGGATAGTCTAATTTGAGATCAAGCAAATGTACTAAACAGAGATCAACAGGTGAAATGAGATTTGAATTTCTCTTTAATTACATGATGTTACATTATTAGCACCCACATGTAACATGTAACATGCAGTAACCCCCCACCTTGCTGTCCTGAGAAGCCCTGAGCTACTGTACAAATCCTCATTTGTTGAACAGCAATTAATGCCAACCAATTCAATAATAGTTTCATAGAAACTCAGGTGAGATGAAGACTAGAAGATTCAGTGGTTCTCCAGAACCAGGAGTGAGAGGTTTAAGGATATTGGATCTGCTTTTCTTATAAAAAGTTTCTCTCTCTTGCTTTCAGGCACAGGCATGATGGTACAGAATGCAGTCAAGGACCTCACCCCCCTTCACACAGTCGTCACCGCCACCGCAGTAACGCTCACCCTGATTGGTTTATTGGAGCCCTGACTTAAACCAATCCCTGGAGGGTTTACATCAAGATCTAAACTTATTGGTTGAATTCACTTGCCTTGCCCTGCGCCTTTGTGAAACCCGTTGGGAAGAGGCGAAGAAATAAAATGACAATGTACTTTTACTTTTTGATGAGAAAAAAATACAAGATTTTGTACGACTGCAAAAGCTTGCTAGTTTGCTAACGTTCAGAAAGGAAAAACTGAAGGAAGGACTGTCATTTGTAAATATAACCATTATATCTGTAGGAATTTGCCTCACAGAATATTACCTTGAATATTTGGACTATTTAATCATTAATTTTACCTTAACACCACGTGAGCAGTAACCACTATTTCCCACCCATTTTACCTCCCACGTGCCCTTTACGACCAGATTTCAGATTCTGAGTCATACAAGCCCTGTTCTAAAAGCTCTGATATTAATAATCTCATAAATCTATTAGCTGCTTTAAGTATTCTCTCCCAAAACACAATCCTCAATTATAAAATACTAATATGGTGACTCCTGAGTTATCCGTTCAACTCAAACAGGCACCTTAGGGCAAAAGATCAGCTTCAAATACCGTGCCAATACAGTTTTCCAGTTTCACAGCAGAGCAAATAAAAAAATAAAATCTAATCCGGAGAATCAATCCATGCGGTGCTCACAGTGCAGTCATTAGCGCAATGTTTCACTTTGCTGAAAATATGAAATTTTCCAAAACTTTGAGTAATTTCTTTTTTATAAAATTTTTACTAATAAACTCAAAAATTAATAGTTCTTTGGCAGAATTCTGAGGCTTTATGTCAAATAATTGGTTAATAGTGGAAAAATGTTAGGCCTCTTTGGATTAGTATTTATACTCGACTGAAAGGGTCTAAATTTAGAAGGAATATACAGTATACTGTACAGATTTTAACAAATCAAGAAACCTAACTATGTACTTGTGACGATTCCAACACAGGAGCTCCATTGCAGTTGTTTTGAGGAAAAGCAGGGTTACAGTTCATTTTTAAACTTGCAGAACAAAACAGAAGATGGGATAGGGGCCTTATTATCTCATTACCATTTATCTGTTACAAGTCATAGATAGAACAGATTATTAACACTGAAACAGTAGATAATTGTCCTTCACAAGGTGAGTGGGGTATCATGCACTGCATACCCAAACTGAGTTTGCTTAAGAAAATAGTTTCTAGTTCTGTGAATGTCACTGGCGGTCTTTGGGAGCTAAACCATATTTATCTTTACAACCTTTTATTAACTATTACCTTTTTTCAAGACACAAGACACGGTCTCTGCCTTTTCTGAACATAAAGGCTTTAAATTTGAATGATAGTGCTAATCATGTCTTAACAAGGACATCTACTGCCAATATATGGTATATGGAGATAATGGTTTTGTTTTTCTGACATATTTATCTCACGATCTCCAGATAAGTACACTTATATAGCGCGTTTCTGGACACTCCACTCAAAGAGCTTTACAGGTAATGGGTACTCCACCACCACCAATGTGCAGCATCCACCTGGATGATGGCAGCCATAGTGCACCAGAACGCTCACCACACATCAGCTATCAGTGGGGAGGAGAGCAGAGTAATGAAGCCAATTAATAGAGGGGGATTGTTAGGAGGCCATGATTGATAAAGGCCGATGGGAAATTTGGCCAGGGTACACCCCTACTCTTTTCGAGAAACGCCCTGGGATTTTTAATGACCACAGAGAGTCAGGACCTCGCTTTTACGTCTCATCCGAAGGACGACACCTGTTTACAGTATAGTGTCCCCATCACTACACTGGGGCATTAGGACCCACATGAGCCTCAGGGTGAGCGCCCCCTGCTGGCTGCACTAACACCTCTTCCAGCAGCAACCTTAGTTTTTCCCAGGAGGTCTCCCATCAAGGTACTGACCAGGCTCATACCTGCTTAGCTTCGGTGGGTTGCCAGTTGTGAGTTGCAGGGTGATATGGCTGCTGGCCACAAAATAACAGATTGTACACTTGTAGAAACACAACAGGCAATGAAGTACACCTATGTCTAGTCAAAGACAATTAACAGTAAAAACACACCAAGTCCACCCTTCAGAGATCCCTTGCCAGTATGTTTTATCATAATGCACGAATTGTGTCATTTTCTTTATCAATTCAAGTTCAGATTGACCAAACTAAACTAATCTTAGCAAGAAAAGTGCTCCTTATCTTAATCAACTACGACAACAAAAGCTAATGAAGAAGGTCAGCCGTAAGGTTTACGATGTAGTAATCACATTTTGGCGGAACACTGTCATCTTATTTATAGACTTTACTTATGAAAGCTGCTGTCTGTGATACAGCTGCTCAGCAATTTTTGAGCATTTTAACATTTTTAAGAATCTTTATCTATCATAATGTTCTAATACCCTGCACTCTGTCTGTTTTTTTTGTGTTGTCTTTGAATTACTGCTCAAAAAATGACTTTCTGTAACTGCCTTTATTTCAGAAGACGAGAAATGGACGGACATATTAAGTTAGTTTGCTAACAAATACGCCCCCTGCTTTACAATGGCAAGGTACTGCTCATCTTGACTGCAAATTGTTTCTGCACCACATCAATGTTTTATGGATAAAAGCAAACATTTCTGCAGACTGAAACCAGATTGAATGGAATCTGGTGAAAAATTAGGAAGGACCTCGAATACACTCCATTTCTGCTACGAAAAGATTTGATTTTTGCACTCATGCAAGATGGTAGTTTGAATATTACATCTGTTTTATGCCTTATCATGTTTCCTGGTGCTCAGTGAAGCCAAAAGTGTCCCTTGCAAGAAGGATAGTGAACAAAGGAGCACACTTTCCTCTAGGACTACAAATGTTATAACTCTCTTGTATTATAACGTTGGTTTTGTATTGTTGATCCAAAACTCAAGAATTCATGTTCTTTGAGTCTTTTGTTTTTCTGGAAGACGGATGAATGAGCACCCAGGGAGTCCTTTGCATTTAATTTGTGCACCATTAATCATAACATGCTGCTGGCTGTACAGGGTGATTTTTCTATTTGATCTTACTATGATTTTTTAAAGGAATTTTGTATTTCAAAAATGTGAAAAAGGAAACTCATGGAAGGGACAGTAAAAACTAGACAGACATGATTTCTTGCACTAAATGTCCTCTAGTTCACTTGAACTGAAAAAACAGCTGGGAAAACCAGAGCATGCAAAGAAACAAAGTGTCACTCCGTAGAAGCCCTATCAATTTGCTGGTCTTTCTTGGATGAATTATAGCTGATTACGTATCAAGCCCTGCAAAATCCGCAGGTCGGATGTGGACTCAGGTCTGTTTGCTGTGTATCGGGGTGTGAGGAGCACCGGAATTGTAATCTATACTCGAATTCAACTCATTTATGCACTGATGCTTACATCACCCCCACAGTAGCTTTATTTCCCAGTTCCCCTGTGAAATATGTTAAGCTAAAGAAATAATGCACTTCAATGTCTGTGATGCACAAGAATACATTTACATGTGTGAAAGCTGAGCGAAGCAAAGTGACAGTGTCCCAGCACAATGCATATCCAGAAGTGCATTACTCCTGTTGTATTATGGCTTGTTTCAGTACAAGAAATGTGTGATTGTAAAATGATTTTAGTGAATAAAACTGAAAAGATCCTTCCACCACATAAAAATGCTCCTTTTGCATTTCTCAGCTTTAATGATGTGGTACCTGCACACAGATACTTGGGACTTGCTGGTACTTCATGCTGGAGCCTGGACAGAAAGGCAAGACCAATCCCAGACTGACCAATTTGTGGAGAGACCAGTATTCTCCCTCACCATTGTATTATAATGTTTTTAAAGTTGTAAACTGTTTAAAACATTATAGTGTATCATTTCACTATTTAATTATCACGACTGGTATTTTTAACATAAATGCTGTTAACACAGTAGCCTTAAACAACAGTATAGTGCCCTGTGTCCTTTACATGTTGATGGTTATGGCATATGACATACGGCTGCCCTACAGTATATGTATAGTGTAGCTTAAGACAGTTATCCGTCAGGTGCAAGTCTGAGGTGAATACCTGTGTAGATCTCATTTTGCAGCTGAGAGAGTGAGAGAAACTGTTCGTCTTTATCTCAGCCTCCTCCTTCCCCATCTCTTCACAACCTCTCAGCTTTAAGTTCCTTGGAGTTATCTGCTCTTAACAGAACAGACCCCCCCCTGTCCTGCAACCCTCCTTTTTCAGAGGGAAGACCCAGAGATTGCCTCTGTTTGTACATGTTGCAAAAAGTGTCAGGTAGCTGTGTTAGATACAGTAGTTCAGGTGGGTACAGTAGCTGCGTCAGCATGCATAGGCTGCAAAGGAACAAGTAATAGGTTTATTCCATGCTGAAAAAAAGGAAGAACTTGTTAGAAACAGTATCTCTTTGTCAACACAAAAAGAAAATGTCTTATCTTCCTTAAGTTGACTAACGTCAGTTTGAGCCTGACAGCAATGCCCCCCTTACCCATTGTGGTCTGAATCGTGAACCTTACTGTCTGTAAAACAATGCTTCATTACCTCATTTTTATTCTGGTCCGGAAAGAGGAATTACTAAGTGATTGTTTCCCAGTTGATCTTGTTCTGTACATCTCCCAAAAATGATCCGTGAATCAAACGGGATTAATGAAATTGATCCAGTGTCACAGGCCATTGTGCAATCCAAATGTCAGAATTGAAACCTCCAAACCTTTTTTTGAGAATATTTGGGAAAATGGCCCTCATAAAACATCTTCAATAAACAAGTTGGGTTTGTATTAATAAAAAGTTTTTTCTTGTTTGAGTGCAGGAATTATACTGGTTGCATTAAGATCCATGAGGGTCCTATGTACTCAAATGTAATTAAAAGGCATGCTAACATGGCAGGCAAACAATACAGTACAGTATCTTGATAGAGATACAGTAACAGAGACAGGCATTGATATCTTATAACATTAATCAGTTCATTCACTTGAACATTTTAATAGCCACTTTCTAGGATGCAGGTGTTCAGTAAACCTGGAAGAGATGCCATTGATAAATAAAAATGATTTCACATTATTTAATACAGCTGACACCATCAATATATAAGAGGCTAGAGTAATATGTAAGAGTAGTGAGCTGTGTCAGCATTCAAGCTGCAAAGAAACAAATAAGGTTCATTTCATGCTGGAATGTAAAAATAAGAAATGTTTCACAAAGACATTGTTTCTCTCTTCTGCTCAATATTTACAGTACATAGGAGCAAGTAATAGGTTTATTCCATGCTGAAAAGAGAAGAGAGCACCTCACACTCACACCTGAAGATGGCTTCACAGCCGAAACGTTGTTTTCTCTCTTCTCTTTTCAGTATGGAATACACATATTACTTGTTCCTTTGCAGACTACACATGCTGACACAGCTACCCACCTGAACTATTTACAGTACATTACCACTGAAGATGTGCTAATTTCCCATATGGAATCAATTTTACCCTAAACTTAATATTTAACAAACTATTGCTATTGCATTGGTCTTTCCATCGAATTGAAAACAATAGCTTGAATAACATATTATCCATATGCTTGTGTGAATGAGTTTTTCCAGCTCCTCTCACAGAAAAGGAGGCTCTTCTCTGGACCCAGACATTGTGAGTCGGAGACAAGGCACCAGGCTTTTGAATACAGGGCTAGGATTTACCAGCCTGGGTTCCTGTTACTTTTTAGGCACCTGCAGGCTTGTAGTGATGTCAGTGGGACATGCACTTCTTATCCAATCAGCACTAACTCTCCTGTCAGGAGCACATTATTCCCTCCACTGGCTGAATGCTGCCCAGCCTGGCTTCTTGTGATTGTTTGGATTTTTTCATTTGGGGGTACAAGGGTCCTCATTTACAGTATGGAGCTTTAGGTTTATCCTCTTATCTCATTATTAATATGAAGACCTCAACATGTCAAAGAAGGTGAATGATTGCACAGGTTCTCCTGCATCATCATCCACAAGTTGTGGTCCACAGGTTGTTGCTGCCTACAGAGAAATAAAGGAATAACAAGCCATTCCTAAACCAATGGGTATAATATGAGAAATATAACTAATTGTGAGGTGCCCATCTATTCATTTTCTAACCACTTCTTTCAATTCGGGGTTGTGAGGGAGCTAGAGCCTATCCAAGCAAGGCAGGGTAAACTCTGGAGGGGCCTCCAGTCCGTCATAGAGCACACAGATACAGACACATATACTCACGCCAGGGCCAATTTTCCCAGAACCCATTTGTCCTACCTGTATGACTTTGGACTGTGGGAGGAAACCAGAGCACCAAGAGGAAACTCGTGCGAACACAGGGAGACGTGAGTGCCAAAATTAATCTTTAATGTGTGATTGAATTTCTGAGGATAACTGTCCTTGCTAACTGCAACATCACTTTGCGTGTCTTGCACCTAAAATCACATCTGCTTTTGTTTGTCACACATTTTTCCCACCACCTACTGAAGGTTGCTCAGCCTGACCTCGTGTGATTATTGTGTGTGTTTACACATGTATAGCCGATTGATTTATCCGCACAGTGAGAAGATGATGTCATTTCTTTGTTATTGCGTTTCTTTGTTCCTTCCACAGCTTGTTCTGCCTGTTTTATTTATTTTTTCTGATTTTTTCTGTGGCCTGCATTACCACCGCCGCATGACCGTCACATCAGTCTGTCGCAATCCTGGGATTCTTCTTACTTCAGAGTGTGAATCAGCAGCAGCTCTCTCTGCTTGTGTTCTGTACTCATTGCTGATCATCCCAGCAATCTGAAATCCCCCACCAACGCCAGTACAATAGGGTCACTCTCCTTGCATGTTTTTTTTTTCCAGCAAAGCTCTTAACAACCCATTTGGTTTAATTGAAGCAGTTTAAATACTTTTCCCAGCTTGAAGAGACCTATAAAGCTGTTCAGTGTACTTCCATGACTTAAACTTAAACCCTAAGTGCAATGTAGTTTATGTGAGATCAGAAGTATCCTTGTTGAAGTATCTAAAAGTAGTAGCTCACAGATATAAACAAGCCTTGCCATTGGACTATCAAACTACCATTTGACAACTCAAATAAGATCTATGTAGTGTGACAAGTGCAGCTTATTCTCCAATTGGATTTGATCGGGATCAGGCTCCAGGGCCAAATGGAATCCTCTTGTTCGGAAATCGTCTTGTGTTCGCTGTGACAATCCCCAGTCAACAGAGAATTCTGCTACCCCAAAAGGCCACGTCTTCTGCTATTGAAGAATTTCGCACTATCTAGCTGCTAATAAATGACCCTTCTCAGCAGCTGAGAAATGAATCTCTGTAATCCCACACATAGCACCAATGTCCCCTATTTATCCTGAGAACAACAGCAAGAACAAAGGATAAATGGTCCATCTTCTGATTTTTGCACAACTCACTGTATTGTTCTGCCTAGGTATTGCTGGTTAATGTTTTAGAATATTCTGCATTAATAATGTTCTGATAGATTAATATACTGTACATATTACTGCAGGCTATAATTTTGGTCTTTCCAACTGATAAGATACTGAATAGACCTGATAACGTTTACAGATTTTATTCCGCTCCCCCACTGAAGATTTTCAGGCACATTTTGACTTTGATATCCATGTTATCTGTTTTCTTTGTGTTTACATAACAATCAGTCCATGCAGCTTGGGACAAAAACCATGCAGCTGCCCACGCCGTAATAACAGGCAGGTATGCAGGTACTTCAACGCGTTGATCTTTGACACTCGGTGTTGGATCCTTCGATACAATTGAAGGAATTGTTCATTATTGCCTTATAAATAGGATCTAATCTTGAAACTTAGATTAATATACTTCTTGTAGTCCTTTAGGGTAGATTTGCTGAGCTTGGTCTTTGCAAAACTGCTAACAGGTACCTAATTCTTGTAGTATTTGAACAGAAATAAAGGTTGTCTTTGGATCTTTATTGAGAAGGATTTTAAGAATTTTTCAGAGGTTGTTCTTTTGATTGTATTTGAATTCAGTTTGTATTTGTATTTTGAGAGATCCATCTCTGCAATGATATTCTTAGGTTATCTGTCTCATTTTCAATGAATAGTATTGTAACAAAACGTTTAAGAGCATTAAGTTTTCAATCTACATTAACAATAATTATTCTTTTGCTTAACTTTTTCTCATCCTTTCTGAATTTGCAAATTAGGGTACGTAATACTTAAATGCACATTCACAGCTGTAGTTTATTTGTAACAATTATATATTTTCATACTTAATTTGTGCCATACAATTGTACCATAAAACAAATTTAAAATAATCTTGATCCATACCTATCCAGAACTGCTCGGTAAGTTATTTACTCAGCCTTGACACAGAGGCTACTTGCTTGCCATTCATATTTAGGTTTTTATTTTTTACATATTGATATAAATGATATATAATATGAAAAAATTGAACCTCTCTTACGCTGATCTAGTCAAACACCAAGTTTCAAACAATTTGTGCTATAAATTCATTTGTCTTCATTCATTGCTGTAAATGGGTCTACATCCTTCCTTCCTCCTTTTAAAGATCAGAATTAATGTTACTTGATTGTTTTTGTGTTTGTTATTTATGGTATTATGTAATGGAATAAAGATTGTACACAGTATGGAAAATACAGTAGCTCTGACTATAGGAAAATCAAATGTGTCTTCTATAGCACAGTCTTTCAAAAAGTGCTCTGAACTAAGACTTTACACACATTTGATGAATCATTGCAGTAAATCCATGTTGTACACAACCTGGAGGGGAAACTCAAATGTATTTATTTACCTGAAAACTAAAGGATGTTTTTAGGTGTCACACAAGGTTTAAAATGTTTAAAAAATCAGTTTAAGGATGTTTTGGCCAAAGACGTAGAGAAAGAAATGTACATCTATCTGCAATCTAATCTATCTGATGTGACTCGCTGCCCCCAAACCAAACCCTTCCAGGATTATTGACAAACTCTTAACTTTGCTGAGGAGCTTGCTGCAGATATCTCTAAAGGACAGCTCTAATGGAGTCATCCTATTCCCATGGCAGATTAAGAGCTTGATATTTTATATTTAATGTTCTGCACATTAGAGAAGAACATTAACTGGCAACATTCCTGACAATTTTGATTGATTTGTCCCCTTTTGTGTCCATAAACAACACCTACAGTACACAACGCTGTTTCAAAAACGCTGCTAAACTTGGTTTATCCTTCCAAAAACAACAAACTCCTCTATGCCATGGTTGTTTCTCTTGGGCTCCTCAAATCAGGTCAAATGTATAAAAGAGCAGCTACTTGGCTTAGTTTTCCTTTTTTATTATAAGTGGCACCCTTAAAGAATGGTGCTGCGTCTTCTGTGCCAATATCACAAGCTGTCTTTACAGCCCTGGATCTCTGGACTTTGAGACTCTTATCTGTTTTGCATATATAAATATGGAAACATGTGTGGGGTTTTCATCTGTTTGGGTCCTCAAGCAGATACAGGTAAAATTGGTTTGTTTCTCTACTATTAGTCATAGGATTTGCAAGAATTGTTACTGATCCTCATAACTGGGAATTGAAAGTGTTTTTGCGGTTAGCAAACTTGCATAACAATGTAATCCATGATGTTTTTTATCTACAACACTCATTTCTTTTCAGGTGTGACTGTTCAATATGAATTGTTATGTGTTTTATTTTGGGTTTTTTTGATAGAAGTAGGTTATAGTTTAAAGAGTAGTACTATAGTCATCTGAGACATGCAATGTATTCTGAGAGGCATCAAAAAATGTAACAAATGTATGCTGGAACCAATAACATCTGTTACATCTTAATCATTCTCTCAGTATTTTAGAATGAGAATATATGAATCTGAAGCAGCGCCTATTCATTTTGAATCAATTTAATTCCAGTTTTCAACTGCAGGAATGATTCCACTGTCCGAGGAAGTCAGTTGCATGTATTGCACAGTGCACTGCTCTGTTCTCTTAACTAAACCTCTTTAATTCCTTTAATTCTGAACACAGGGGGACCACAGGACTCTCCACTGTTGCTTCTCAAACCATCAAACATTCCAGGCAAGAGAGACAGAATTGCTGGAGAGGTACAATGGCAAGACCGACTATCTTAGCAGGTAAGGTCTCATGTTTAAACAGCCATAATTACCCTTTTCAACTTCTGAAATGCTTTTGCTGGTGAACTTAGCAACCCATTAGAGGTCTAAGATGCTGACTGTAAGTGACAGCAATGAAGCTGTTACATCAGCCAGTATCATGCAAATACTGTACTTCCATTTACTGTAAATTGCACTGAAAGTGGATATTCTGCACCACATGCTGGTCAGTATGTATGAAAGGAGATAGAATATAAATCCTTCCAAAATCCCAGGGGACACACCTTTCCACACCACCCCTTGTATTATTAGGCGGATCGTCATTTAATTAGTCTACCGTAGCCTACTACTACTACAGTCTACCATATTCGAAAGCTTCACATCAGTGCTATAGCCAATGTTTCCAAAGGGTTCAGAAATATATTTTGATCTACTTTGTAGTTTTTCTAGTCTCTGTCTTGGAATTAAATTCCTCTCTCCTTTTTTAAACCATCTCCAGGCTTGGGTCTGGTGTTGTGTCTTCAGGCATGTAAGTACTCTCACTTCTCATTAAAAAAAACTAAAACAAATCAAAGTTTAAAGGTTGTATTCTTGTGACCTCTGACCTTTGCCAGCAAAACAGCCTCTTACATAGAGTATTGACAATATACTTTGACTGTTTTTCTGTAACAAACCTCTTAAGTATCTGGAACCATAGCTGGTGGGTTGTGGGTTAGACTCCCCGGTTGTGAGTTCACTGTAGTTATACCTAGGAATTTACCCCAACTACTCCATTCTGCCCCTGCTGTAGAAATGGGCACCAGTAATGCTGGGTAATTACTGTGCAAGGGACCAATCATGTCCGCTCTAGTCCATTTAACACAACAGAAAGGAAAGGAGTTCCCCACTGCACACCACTAGAGGGCCCTCTAGCCAGTCCCTCTCTAAGTAGTTCAGTGTGAGAATGTAAATCGTCACCAACTGGGTCTTCATTAGAAACCCTATATAACATTCTCAAGCGATCTCCCTGTGTTCGCCTCAGAACCATGGCACCAGTCATCAGACTGCGGGCGTCCATTTCCACTCTCTTATAGAGATCTCAACCATCGCGTAGAAATTCGTACAATTTCATCATTGCTTGAGGGAGAACAATACTTAATGACTACATGTCAGCTCTCTACCTCTGCCAGAGACATCAACCCTACGCCGGTGAAAAGGCAGCCACAAAACCCACACTGTTACAAACTAAACTTTAAAAAGTGTTTCACAAATTAAACCAAAAGTAGACCCCAGGAGTAGAAAGGCTAGACTAATAACTATGGTCTCCTGTTGTTGTTTGTCAAATGTTCCCTTAACAAAGCTCACTGTTCACTCTTGTGCTCGCCGTTCCAGGTTCTGCCGCCAAGCTGGTGTGCTACTTCACTAACTGGTCCCAGTACAGACCTGGAACTGGACGGTTTTTGCCTGACAATGTGGACCCTCACTTGTGCACCCACCTGATCTATGCTTTCTCCGTCATCAATTATAACAACGAGCTGGTCACCTACGAGTGGAATGATGAGACTCTGTACCAGTCCTTCAACGGCCTAAAAAACAAGTGAGTATGTGTGCTCTTGTTTGTGTGTGGGCATTGATTTATATGAAAGTGTACCAGATTAGTCCTACAAAGTGTCATACTCCTGCTAATTACAAAAATAATCTATAGATGAGTTGTATATTCCAATTCTAAAAAGCACTTCAAGTCAGGGATTTATAGCTCCAGGCCTTGGGATCTGGAATCATCCAAATTTCACTTCACCTGCGTAACTTTACTTGATAAATTGATCCAGTTAAGGTATAAGCTCCTCCAAAGCTGTTGACTATTCAAAAAGACACAGAAGATCTGTTAGGTTCTGGACTCCCTCCAAGACCAGAGTTTTTTTTTTTTCCAGGAAGGCTGAAACACACTCTGAAAAGATGATTTCTTGCCTGCTTCCCCTCTACAGGAGAGGCCGATGCATGATATTCTTTTGTGCTCTTGTACAGGAACTCTCAGCTGAAGACTCTGCTGGCTGTGGGAGGATGGAACTTTGGGACAAGCCAGTAAGTACTGTTAATGATGGGACCTGTGGTGGCAGCAATAGTAGAAGCAGCTTGAGGTGAATGTTTTGCACCAACCTCAATGTCAGTCATTCTGCACATACTGTACTGTGCACTGTTAATAAACTGCCCAAGCCTAAAAACGACATCAGATCAGACTATTCCAACCATCCAACTATTCCAATTCAAACATTTACCAGAAACAGCAGGTCCAAGAGTAATCTAGGAGCTATCAGCAGTGTACAATAAATGGTCACCTCTAGTACCTGCAGGCCCGGTCTGGTGTGGGAAATGCCTGGGAGTTCTGGTTCACCTATGGATTCACCCATCTCACTCCAGGTTCACCATCATGGTTTCTTCAGCTGCAAACCGGCAGAGGTTCATCCAATCGTCCATCCGTTTCTTGCGGACGCACGGCTTCGATGGACTGGACCTGGACTGGGAATACCCTGGAGCGCGAGGGAGCCCCCCAGAGGACAAGCAGAGGTTCACGGCGCTGGTTAAGGTGGGTGAAGTCACGTACAGTAGGTCTTCCTCACAGCCCACTCTTCTCCATCACTCTCAGGTCATCAGATCTTCGTCATTCTGTGAGTATGGAGGGGGAGCTGGTTTTAGCAAGATGCAAGAGGTTACCTACAGCTCCTCTCTGAAGCTGGCTTGCATGTCTTTATTGAAGTTATAACTAATGATGGCAGCAACAGAATGAAATCTGAAGTTTTCAAAAAAACATTTTTTCTACTTATGTAGAAGAAAAAGCTTATATTCTTATTGAGTGGCACTTCACCATGAAACGCAAGGATGCTACGAAACATACAGCCAACGCTACAAAAGTAGCTCATAACTTTTGACATAAGGAGAAGAACTGGAAAATCTTAGTTTGGCCAAGTCAGTCTCCATTGAGCATGTATTTTAAATGCAGAAGTAAAACTGAAGTCAGGCCACCCCAAGAATATCTTTTATCTTCTGAAAGGTAATTGAAGTCAAGTAACATGATAACGTGAAATCACAGGGATGATCACAAAGTATGTTTTTGCTCTTATACAGCCTATGCATCATGTTACTCAAAAACATAATGTGTATTACATAGTATTTCATGATCAGAACAAGTATTTAAAGCAAAAATAACAGGTTTTACTTTTCTGTCCCAATTATCCCAAGACACCATCATCACTGCAAAATCTTGAATTAATTAAGTAACAAAATAGTGCAGGATGGAGAGAGCACAGAGTGTGAATCAAAGAAGCAGAAAGAAATGAAGAGAAAGAAGAGCAATATGAAAAAAGAATGGCTGTTATATGCGTAAACAGTAAATTTGAGATATAATCATTAAGGACAAGTTGGAAAAAAAACAAAATCAGATCAGAGGTAAGAAAAAGGATAACAAGCTCAGTTAGGAAAACCAAGTCTGTACTGCAGAACAAAGTAAAACCTGTTTTAATTTTCTTTAAGGGTTGGTGGGGGGGAGGATATGCAGCGGCTCAAGCTGGCAAACAACTGATTTAATTTTTTATCACCTGCAGGAGCTACTGGCAGCATTTGAACAGGAAGCCCTTAGCTCCCGGAAACCCAGACTGCTGCTCACGGCCGCAGTGGCTGCTGGGAAAGCCAACATTGACAACGGCTACGAGATTGCTGAGATTGCCAAGTGAGTGTGAGCCTCGCCTTATTCTATGTGACTTTCTCCTGTGGTTGAGAAAGACATCAAGACAGATTTGCAAATAGGTTTCCCACAAGCCACATCTCAAAACATGGGTTGCGAAACCTATCAAGAGCAGAAATGCTTTGTCATCATTACAGCTGCTGTTTTGACTCACATCAGCAGACAGGAAGAAGGGGGGGGAAACTTCTTTCTGTTTCTGCATTGCCCATTTTGGAAAAAAATTGACTCACTGAGGACAAAGGACCTTGTGATCAAGCGGTGTCAGCCTGGAGATATTGACCGTGTAGCATCATGCAGGCATTAGTGTGGAATGTTAAAAGAAGACTTGATCACATTATAGCTGCACGAAATGGTTATTCAATTATAAAAAATGATCCAGGCTTGAACCCACAAGTCTGGAATCGTGGAATTTGACCTGCACTTGAGAGTGCAACATTACTAGTGCAGTAGTAACCATCCAGAAGCACTAGCACTAAAATAATTTTAATGGAAATAGTTTGATTGGTTTGATTAGGAGAACTAAAATCAGAAAACAAGAATATCTAGCCACATGAATCAGTTAACCCAATTTCCCTACAAGTGCTGATCAGTCAGCATGCACTTGTCAGTGAAGCTAGTCTTCACATTAAGAGTTAATCATTACCATGAGGATCACACAAAACCTATTCCTGAACATAGCATCTAAATACCAATTTCAGAAAGCATAATATAACAGTGGGAAAAGACATACAGTACCCAATAGCACCATTCTGTCACATTTTCCTGCTATAAAACAATCAATAAGTTTCAAGTAGGATTAAATTCAATTCTGTAGTGCACAAGTAAAATTTTTCTACTGCACGACAGTGATACTAGACCATAACACGGACATTACTGCAGAACAACAAGATTATTATACAAACTTCTGTGCACGATAATGTCATCCTCCACACTCCTCCTTAAAAACAACTATACATGTTGCAGGTATTGACCACATATAGTGGGTGGCCACATGTATCTCTCATTGCACGACTAAAGACTAAAGCATATCTTCAGGTACCTGGACTTCATCAGTGTGATGACCTATGATTTCCACGGAGCCTGGGATCCCTTCACTGGACACAACAGCCCCCTATACCGTGGCTCCACTGACAAGGGAGACCTCATCTACTTCAACATTGTGAGTAAAATGCACTGCTTTGTACTTCAATGATTTGAAGTGCCCTTCATATAACGTTTCCCACTGGTGGGGATTACAGCACTATGAGACAAGTGGCAGTGTCTTAAATGTTCTATTTTTTTCTCTTTCATTCTCGTTTCTCCTCCTCTGTTTGTCCTCTCCCACTCCGTACCTCTCTCCCTGGCCTCAGGACTTCGCTATGAAGTACTGGAGGGATCAGGGAGCTCCCCTGGAGAAGCTCCTCATGGGATTCCCCACCTATGGGCGCACGTTCCGCCTTATCTCCTCCCAGAACGGAGTCGGGGCTCCTGCCAATGGTGCCGCCTCCGAAGGCCCATACACCCGTGAAGCAGGCTTCTGGTCTTACTACGAGGTGAGCAGGGAAAGAAATCTGAGCAGAACAGCATCTTCACACCATGTTGCAACCCAGTCCAAGCGCAGTGTGGCGTGAGTGCTCAGGGTCTAAAGAGGCAGAGGTGGCCTTCACTTTCGTATATAACATGTTGTATACGCTGCCTAGGTTTCAACTCTTCTGGCGGCAAGCTTAGAATCACTCACTATCTTTGTGAGATTTTCACACCAAGGAGGTTTTGACTAAAAGCTGTGCATCTTCGTGGACGTGCTCCTAAATCTCAGCTCCTCATTCACAAAGTAGACCATCCTACAGTAGAAGGCGGTGGAGTTTTCTTAAAATGAGACTTTCTGAACCTTGGCCCAGTTAGGTTTCTGAATGTCCCAACAGACACTTCTTGTCTTCCTTTTCAGATCTGCTCTTTCCTCCAAAGCGCCACTATCCAGTGGATAGAAGACCAGAAGGTGCCCTACGCCACCAGAGGAAACGAGTGGGTTGGCTTTGATGTCAAGAAGAGCTACGAGACTAAGGTACCCTTGAACAGAGCCCACAGAGTCACCTTTTGCCTCTGCAGGTCTGTGCAGGAAATACAAAATAATTCCAGGTTGTACCAGGGCAGAGACATAGATCCAGGTTGAGGTTTTTCCCGTCTAATTTTGAAATCAAATACTTTTTTTAGCTTTATTTTTTTTACCCACCCAGTTTAGTCTCCAATTGCTTTTTTAAGAGTATGATCTCCCTTCCCTGTTAGCTCTCAGCAGTTGGGCAGTAAGGCAGTTGAGTGCCTTGCTGGGACTGTACTAAGTTAAAGATACAGCAGAGTGACATTTTGTGTGCAGGCTGGTGTGCGCAAAATGAAATAGGCAGTCTATTTTAGGGAGTCCATAACTAAAACCTGAAGGAAAAGCATATAGGGTGACAAAAGGGAAAGATACTGTAGGAGGTGGTATTGCAAAATACAAGCAGAAAGATACTGTAGGAGGTGGTATTGCAAAATACAAGCAGACTTTCCTACCCTATGCCCTTGCAACCCATTATCTCGCGCTGTTTCTGTTTTATGTTTCCATTTGCACATATACATGTTTTGCCCCCATAAACCTCTCTTCCCATTTCTCCTTCTTTCAGGTTCGATGGCTGAAGGACAACAAGTTTGGAGGGGCCTTCGTGTGGGCCCTGGACCTGGATGACTTCGCTGGGGAGTTCTGCAAAGAAGGGACATACCCCCTCATCTCCCACCTCCGCACGTTGCTCTCTTCTGGTAAACCTTCTAAACCCCAGCTCCTCATTCACAAAACAGAATATCCCTTGGTAGAAGGTTTTGGACAAAACAATGCCCTTGATCTCCATCTGCTATCCCAGGGGAGGAAATAAAATGGGTTTTGTACTCTTGGCTCTTCCTCAGCGCTGTTTACCATTGTGCACCTTACATTTTTAAGTCTATTCCCAAAGCACCTCCCTAGACTGCATTTTTGAGCTGTGGTTTTGCAATATAGTCAGTCAAGTTCTGGCAATCTTTTGAAAAGAGGCTCCAGGGAAAGTGTCTCTACAGCCAGTTATTAAGACTGCCTCTTGTCTGACTGTCGTAGTGCTATTACACTCACTGCATTTGAATTAATAAAATTCCATAGGATCTTAAGGGTTTAAATGTTGAAGCTCTTATCTATAGACTGTGCTGTTACAGTCTGCTATGTTTGTCTTCAGCAGTCTCCGATGGCTTCTTCTTTTGTTCTTTTGTTCTTTTGTTTGTTCCCAGGAAAGAAATGAAAAGAATTGAGAAATAATTTCACTTTATACACTATTAACTTCCTGGAATCTTGTTGACTGTTCTGTTAAACAAAAGTATTGTTTTTAAGTAACTAGTTGGATTAAAAAAGAAGGTGGGTTGAATATAATGGACATCATTAAAGAGATGTACATTTATTAATTCTCTATTGCAAAACCATTATAAAATACTTTGATGTCCAATCTACCACCTGTTGTTTGTCCATTATCTGAGAACCATAAGTTCTTTACCTTTTAGACTCTTATCTAATTTCAAGTAAAGCTTTGCCCAGGTCCACACCTGTGATCCCCAGTAACAGTTCTAAATATCATCAATATCTTTAATATCTTATCTTCAGTAACTTTATAACCTTCCCACGTCTTTTTAAGGATTAGAAATAGCGCAAGCCCTTCACACATATCTCATGCAACTTCAGTGTTCTCAGTAGGGAAATTAAGCTTCAGTCCTCAATAGCCTTTGGCCTGAATATTTTATTAGGATCTTAAAACCCCCCAGCTGCTTAAGACAGTAGATATATTGAAATGGTGAAAGATTAACTGACATGAATCATTAAAAGCTCTGACTCAGGGAAGCCTTGGGAGAGTGACCAAACTGGCACATTGACCTTCTTCAAGTCATACATCCTGTCCAGTCTCCCTTCTGCTGTATTTTTGTGCTTGTTAATGATGTCTGTGACTTTGTGCTTTGTGAAAAATAGGGGATATTCATGTACTGCTCAGTTTGAAAACATCATCCATGTTTGGCTAGTTTTTATATTAAAAAATAGACCCCAAAAAGGCAATGCTTCACGATATCATTTTTTCAGATTTTTTCCCCTGGGCTCTGGTTCATGAAACTTTGGCACCATCATTCTTTGAAGATAAAGAGTGGGAAAATGGACGTATATTGCTGTGTGGAATAATCTTAGAGCAGCAGTTAACTGATGTTTTCTTTTTTCTTCACCATTGCCAGATTTGCCAACATTGCCACCACTTCCCCCTGTACCTACCCCTGGAGCCAACTCCACCACCACCACTACTACCCCTTCAGGTAGCAACATCGACCCTCGGTTCTGTGTGGGCAAAGTCGATGGACTATATGCCAATGTACACGACCCCAACTCCTTCTACCAGTGCTCCCGAGGAGTCACCTATATCCAGAGGTGCCAAGTGGGCCTGGTGTTCAAAGATAAATGCAAGTGCTGTGACTGGCCTTAACCTGACAGAGAAGAAATCAAAGGCCACCAGTATCTGACCTGCCTGTTTGGAACTGGTATTTCATCAGGCTAGAGCCAGCAGAAATTCAGTGAATGAAATAACCTGCTAAAAAGAGAATATAATCAATTATTTCAAATTCTTTTCAAAGCTTTATTAAACAACAAAGAAGATTCTTCAAAATATATCAACATCTCCTATTTGTAATTTTTTGGGAGACATCACCAAATTTGGTCATTTTATTTTAACGGTGGCGCATTGAAGAAGACAATCAGTATGTTTTACTCTGCTGCTCCTTATGTCCTGCTGCACAACTTTATGCTGTTCCCTCAATAAAACAGTTCATATTTTCTATTTTTCTGCCTGTTTGTGTTTGATTTTATGGACTATGCATCATAAAACATGGTTGACTTGCAAAGTTTGAATTTGGTTTTCTTACTAACTTAAAAAGGAAATAGAACAAAACTGATACATAAACCTAGGAACTGAGTTACATCCAAACTTCCACCTACCTTCAGTCATAAATTAATTTCTTTATTGCATTTTCCAGTTTGTCTTTGCTACTACCCTGCAGAATTCCAGTATTCAGGCACCAGCTTCATTGCAATTTATGGGCAGGTGCAACTTCTGATCTGGTTCAATATCATTTTAAGATTCTTCAGCATATATAATAGTACCTCACAGATTTTGGTATCTCAAATCCTCTAATGTAATTACAATAGAGGGCCAAATAAAATCTAGTGTTTTCATCAGGCAACATGATATCTGTATCTGTCTGATCTTTAATCTTTGCAACAAAGTGATAGACTAATTAGGTAGCACAAAAGTAACACAATAATAACTACTAAGAGTGATTGACCCTCTAGTAGAGGTAAGATTCTTGTAGTCATATACTAAATGACTGTTACAGACAGAGTGATCTTTTGGCTGTTCAATTCAATAGTGATGTACAGTACCTCACATTGTAGTCTTATCTTTCATGTTGTTCACATTTTTCTCCTTGCCAAGGCAGACATATACTAATGGTAAACTGCTCCTGAAGGTAAAATTGTCCTAGTTTAATCCATGCCTCTCTGTCTGTTGGTCCCAAGTACCGGCATTATAAAATATATCATAACAATAGTTTTTGAATACATGAATAATTATTTGGGTACACAGATACTTTTGGTCACCTTTAAACAGTGAGCAGACAGGTTTCTTAATGAGTAGGATTGTTTCTCAGGACTACAAAAAATTGTGTTAAAAACAAGTAATTTCATGAAAATCTGAGATCCCCACTGAGTTGACTCAAAATTTAATTAGAACTGATTAGGAAACAGTACCAATATACACGATCCTTAATAATGCAACAGAAGCAGAAGATCGTGCCCTGCTTGAGTAATGAAGATGACCTGGATGTTGTTGGCAGGATTGAAGTAGGGCTGTCTGAGAGAAGGCAAGATGATCTGATTCAACAATCAGCAGACCAGTCCAGGGAGACCAGGAACAGGCTCTGTGATAAGACAGGCCACTTCCTGGGAAGCAGAAGGTTGCCATACTTTCTCAAGACCCTCATATCAGTCTGGTACACCTGTTTTAATCTTTTTAGACTGCAGTTGTCAAGGAACCAGCAATAACCTGCGCATCAGTAGCATCAATATCTGATTGAATCCTTCAGGCCTAAGCATAGTTTTTCCCCCTTGGTTCTGTAATAGGGGGAATAACCTTGAATGAAAATGGAAAATGATCCATTTTGGAGAGTGTCTTTTTCTCACAGATTCTTTTTTACAGACATAGTGCGAAGGCCAGGCTGGGACAATTGGGCTATGTAACTGCTCAAGGTGCCACTATCAGGTGCTTTGATCTGTTATCTGCAACAATCATTTCCTCATAACTTCTTGAAACAATCAGCCATTAGGCCACTGTACTTTGATACTCATTAGTTTAATATAAATAACTTTGAAACACTTATCTACTGCAGTTGCTCTTCCTACTCTCTTGAGAATAAAGGTAAATGTGGTTTGTTATTAATATTAGCAGTATTGTTATATATTGTAATTTATTTTTTGGATGGATAAATGGATAGATCCCTGGCGGTTTTGAACTTTCCAGTGAATCACATCTAGAAATAAACACCTGCCTCATGAAATGTGACTGTGTAGCATATATCAAGGTTAGTGTGCATATATGTGTTGAGTCCTGAGCATGGGTTTTGCAATGACAAGCCTGGATTATCTGATGGTGGACAACAAAGAAAGCAAGGAGCTGGTGACTTGATCCACCTTGTCATGCTAACACGTAAGCTGGTGTTATAGATCATCGAGGAATCAGCAACCATCGTGCCGCCTCTGAACCTGACGACAGTGAACAAGAGCAATGTCAAGACTCACTATCTCAGCAGGTAAAGTCATCTTTATCAACATTGGATTTTGTTTATTTATATTATCTATTTTATGTATAGTACATATATATATACATAGTTGAAATATGATATTCTGTTCAGTCATCCTAATAGTATATGTCTCTTCTCCTGCAGGGCTAGCACTGCTGCTGTGTATTCAGATAGGTAAGCATTGACACTTTTCACTTCTCCATTTATTTCAAATGTCTTGCTTTTGGATTTAAATCATAATGGGACCTATTTTTGCAAACCCAAGCACTTTGAGTCTAATTTTCAATATCATATTTCTAAACTGGAAAGAAAAATGAAACTATTCTTGATTTGTTCAATGAAAAACAAAACTATTGAGGTGCTGTCCAATGAAAATCACCCAGAAACATTAAGTGGGACTCTCTACACCATAACAATATTTTATAAGGTGTCAATGTTCCAGCACATGTCAAATGTCCTAATGGAAGCTTTTTGTGCCAAAATGTTGACAGTTTATAATAAATTACCTTCAAATAGAGTGCAACCTCCTCAAATGAAAATCACTAAAAATGCAGTATTGCTCTTTTCTGTTTAAGAACTTCTTGGTATGATTTAAAAAAAACTTAACTCTGAAAACTGACCTCAGAGAACTTGGTGTCTCGACAGAAACTTGTAATTGTGCTTTTCTGGATAATGACCAAGATTTTCCTCATGCATTATTTATTCAGTTGGAATTTGCCATTGCTTGCTTTTCTGAAAGTTTTGCCTTCTGTAAAGCTGTTTAGAATGCTATTTCAGCACCTCTGAGTAGTTTGCTTCCTGTAACACTATTCCTAAGAGTGCAGCACAGTGGTTAATGTCTTAGAGCCCTAAATTCCAAGCTGGCTTCCCTTCCATGCTGCATACACTAATGCTGTATCCCTGAATGGAGATCCCTATCTAGAGTCCTCCAGTTCACCCAACTGTATGAGTGTTTACCAAAATTGCTTGGATGGGGGTAGTACAGCAATTGGACGAACATCAATCTGGGGGCAGTCATGCACTATGTCAGCTTAGAAACTGGGATAATTGCAGGTATGGTAAGTATGAGCCTGGGTGTGGACCTTACTCAGTTAACTACATCTGCTCCTAACTCTGAAGAATACTGTAACTTTAACTGTACCCCAAAAAACAAAAGCAGAGGTCAAATTAGTTTCACATAGTTTTGAATGCCTCCACCCCCACAGACAAATGTTTTTAAGATCATAGATCAGCATCCCACTTTTAAGAGAACCTTGCAAAGATCTGTGTGTTTTTCCAGGTTCTGCCACCAAACTGGTGTGCTACTTCACTAACTGGTCCCAGTACAGGCCTGGCGTTGGCAAATTCCTCCCAGAAAATGTGAACCCCCACCTTTGCACTCACCTGATCTATGCCTTCGCCAGCGTCAACGAAGGTAATGAGCTGGTCACCTATGAGTGGAACGATGAGACTCTGTACCAGTCTTTCAACGGCCTGAAAAAGAGGTTAGTGTGTATATGTGTATCTGCTTTCAGCCTTACAGAAAGCAACACTCTCTCTTTGGCTAATTAAAACTGACTCAAGCATCAGAAATTGAATGAGCTTTAATAGGATAGAGAGAGTAAAATACAGAGCTATTATAAAAATATATATTTTATATACTGCCTTTTGTGTAAATAAAACATCCCAAGGTGCTCCACAAAAATAAAACAGCAAAAACAATAAACACAAAAATACAATAAATAAGCCGACAACACAATTAAAACAAACTAAAAGGGAAAGCTGGGGTGTAAGATATTTAAAAGAAGTCATGTGTGATCCTTCAGAGTCTCCATAGCCATTCAGAGCCCAAGCCAGCAACTCGATACTGTTGGATGTCTCCCTTCACAAATAGGTCACAATTCCTCCTTCCTGACTCCAGCTCTGCAGAAGGATCTCCACTTGTGATTTTCTCTCTGTCTTTTCTCAGAAACCCTCAGCTGAAGACCCTGCTGGCTGTCGGGGGTTGGGTTAATGGAACCAGCCCGTGAGTACTGCTGGCAGACACTGGGATACCAGTTTAACACAATTTTACATTTACATTTAAAATGCAACATTTTACCGAAGCAAAGCCATACTGTAAGTCAAAGTATACAAGAAAAGTGTAGTGTGGGTAATGACCTTGATCATTTTTCATTTGCAGCAATTAGCCCTCTATGTTATGATATTCAGCAAGTCTTGCAGTTCAGCACTGATCATTTTCTTTGCCCGTCTGTGTCAGGTTCATCAACCTGGTGACCACGCAGGCAGGGCGCAACACGTTCATACAGTCGTCCATCCGTTTCCTGCGAGAGCACGGCTTTGATGGGCTAGACCTGGACTGGGAGTACCCTGGGTATCAGGACAGCCCCCCTGAGGACAAGCAGAGATTTACAGCCCTGGTGAAGGTGAGCTGGGCCTCAGCAGCCTTCTCTGCTCTGAGAAATGCAGGTTACTCCTCTCCCCCACCTTCTCACCATCATCTTTATGGGATCCATCTGTTCCTTGCTTGCATGTAAAATAAGCTCACAAATCCCTCATTTCTCCTGCCGTTGTCTTTGCATGTGTCTTGGGCTGCAGGAATGTATGGCAGCATTTGAGAGGGAAGCCACAAGCAGCAAGCGTCCCAGACTGTTGCTTTCAGCTGCAGTGGCTTCTGGGAGGTCAAAGGTCGACAACGGTTATGAGATCCCGGAGATCTCCAAGTGAGTGTCAAGACTCTGATGTTATCCCTGATGTTTCCAGTTCTACCTGAGATTAAGCACAGCTGTGACTTCAAATAAGATTTAGTCAAGTGAGCAAGGCTCTATCTATCTCTCCAGGTATCTGGACTTCATCAGCGTAATGACCTATGACTTCCACGGAGCCTGGGAGAACAATACTGGACACAACAGCCCTCTGTACCGTGGCCCCATGGACAAAGGAGAACTCCTCTATTTCAACATTGTAAGAGCACTGCAGAAAAAACTCTAGAAAACAGTTCACATTACACAAAATCCAGGAATCCTTCTGTTATCCTCTGTTAGAAAACCACGACTAATTGCTCATCTTAACTGTTTTAAAGCCAAGTATACCGGCACCATTAACCATTGATATTCACTTCTGGTCCCAGTGGACAGCAGTGTCTCTTGTTTTCATTCCACCCTGGAAGATTAATCACTTCATTTGAATCAATTGTTCAATTTTTTTGTCTTTATTACCATTGTTTCCAAGGCTTTACTCATTGAGGATTGTCAGTTACTATATAACCTGGTGGACCCCAGTAGTGAATATCACTGCCTTAAACCTTTGAATTTTCCATTTCTTTTACAATAACACTGTAAAGTAAAAATAAATCATTATTGCTTCTCTCAAGTTCTGTAGTCATTATCTCACTCTCTTTCTCTCCATGTCTTCAGGACTCGTCTATGAAGTACTGGCGCGATCAGGGGGCACCTGTAGAGAAGCTGCTGGTGGGCTTCCCCACTTATGGACGCTCCTTCCAGCTGGCGTCCAGTGCCAACAGAGTTGGGGCTCCTGCTGACGGACCTGGGGCAGCTGGGCCGTACACCCGGGAAGAAGGCTTCTGGTCTTACTACGAGGTGAGCGGGGAACCTACAGTACACTGACTAACAGAAATGTTTTAGCAGGAACACAAAGCTCTCTGCTAAAATAGGTAGAGCAGTCTTGACATTGAAACACATGACACAACACCAAATATAAAAAACAGAGCAGCCAAAAACCAGAGCAATCCCATATAGCTTATCTTTGCAGGACAGCATGTACTGAAGTGTTTTAGGACATCTAAGGAATTGTGGGAGTCTAGAACAAGCTACCTACCCAGCTTTGTTATCATGGGATCCAAGAATTAGTTAGCAGCTAGTAGGTAGATGGGTTAGATGTGCTCAGCATCCTCTTCTGATTTGTAACTTTTCTTATATTCTTGTCTGAATAATTCCATTATACCACTGGGTGGCCATTATACTATCACAGGGTCCTGGTCAGCCTCTACTGGTGTCCAGGCTTATTGAGTAGCTCATGGTTTATCAGGACTTTTGCTGTCCTTATTCATTTCAGGATACCCTTCAAACCTGTTGAGTCTAGCTACTTTGCAGATAAATAAATCAAATAGTTAGATGGCCACTTTCTATCATAGAAATGCAGATTTGAGATAGAAGTTAAACAATCTAAGAACTATTGTTTTTTTTTTTTCATGTCTGTGCCTAACAACACAAGGTCTTGTTTTTCAGATCTGTTCTTTCATCCAGAGTGCCACAGTCCACTGGATCCCAGAGCAGATGGTTCCTTACGCCACCAGAGGAAAATCATGGGTGGGCTTCGACAACAAGGACAGCTATGACTACAAGGTATCCCTGCAGCAGAGATTAACTCTACTGTCACAACTAATCAAACAAAACACTGGATGAGAAAACCTCTAGACAATGTTTGGTTGCAGGACTGGTGCTGCTCAGCCCAATAGGAACTGTAGATTCATATTTTTGGTGTCTGTGCTAGGCTTAGTAGCCAGTGGTGCTAGATTAAGGCTGAATGCCTCTCAGACAGAATCCCCCCTAAAATCTTTTCAAGCTTAGAATGAGTTGATAAAGTCACTCTAACAAGAATGTTTCTAAACATATCAGTGCTTCATTTAAATATAGTTGAAAGTCTAATTGGTTTTAAATGTTTGCCGGTGATTTCAGATTTGATATTTCTTGTATTAGTTGTCTAAATGAGGTCTGATGTATCCAGCAAGACACCCACACAGAGGCTCAATACACAATGCTGTACTACTATTTTTTCAACTTTGTAGATTGTTTTCAGAAGACATTACTACAGACAGATACATATTCATATTCATTCCTAATACAAACCCTAACCCCAACCCTGAGCATATCCACAGCCCTAAAACAAAGCTATGAGCCCTGCTGTTGCAGCTGTTATGCACCAGTCTGTGTCTGTCTACCTGCTATCTTTTGGCATGGTAGTCCTCATGGCCTCTCTGACTATCCTCAACACCTCACTGTCTTCCTGTCATGCCTCCCTCTCTGCCTCAGGTCCAGTGGCTGAAGGACCATAATCTGGGCGGGGCCTTTGTTTGGACACTGGATCTGGATGACTTTGCGGGACAGTTCTGTGAACAGGGCCGTTACCCCCTCATCAGCCACCTGCGCGACCGGCTAGGTAAACCAGGGCACTGGTCACCCCCCCAGGGTTGATTCTGGTAGTGGATTTTATTCTCAGTGATTCATCGCCATTGATATATTCCTTGTTTCCTTCCTGTTTCCACTGTCCCAGCTGGCTCCATGGGTCTGCCATCTGTTGTATAAGGTTTTGAAATAGTTTCAGCCCCAGTCCTATTCCATTCTTCCAGATTTATTTGAGGTTATACTGTATGTGTGCATAATGCTGTGTTGAGATTGAACAGCATGGTCCAGCAGTTCCAGCAGTTTTCAGCGGGACTGGGATTGATTAGTCCATTATTAAATAAATAAGACACTAAATAAATAGCAAGTTATAAATACATCCACTGTAGAATAATCATATTGGACTTTATGCATGGCAACGGCAATGAAACATTATTAATCATTTATCATAATAGCACTAATAAAAGCTAGAAACAAGGAACTGAAACCTCCTTTTGGCATTTATCCCTTAGACTTTGCTATGTTTGCAATGGTGAGAGATCCAGTCCAGCTAATTAGAAGTGTAACGTTTAATTAACTTTATCTCTTATATTGAAAAAGAAAACCTTCTGTGGTAGAGCAGAAGAATAAAGTGATACTGTGTTTAAAAAAAAGAACAGTAAAGCAAAGGCCATCTCTTGTGTTCCCCCTGTGAACTGTCTGCAACAGTTCACACTGGTGTCAGGAGGAGTCCCAGTCCAGCAATCAGTTTCTGTAGAATTGCAATAACTTCTATGCCATGAATTAAGCAGTGATTTAGCTACTGTATCTTTTGGAATTAAGATCCAGGTTCCCTTATTTATACAAGTTGCCTGGTCGGCTGTTCCTAAGAGTCCACGATCTTCCTGAAACAGGCGAGTTGAGACTGTCCAAGACCAAACTTGGGGAATGACCACGTGATTTTGCTCTTGCAGGTCTTCCTCCTCCCCCCACCACCACGGCCCCTCCCCCCACCACTCCGGGAGATGACTTCTGTGCCAGCAGACTGGACGGGCTGTACCCCAACCCCGCCGACCCCACCACCTTCTACCACTGCTACCGCGGGGAGACATTCCTGCAGAAGTGCCAGCCAGGCCTGGTTTACGTAGACGCATGCAAGTGCTGCAACTGGCCGTAGAGTGCTTGGGCCAGACCGGGCAGCACTCACTCCTGTCGAGGTCACTCTGACAACAGACATCCCCCCGAGCCCCAGAGATCGGCCTGCTTTCTTTGAAGTGGAACGACAAGGCATCCCAAGATACAAAGATTAAACTTCTTTCATTAGTCTGTTTTTGCTATTGTTCTTTATCATTGTAGTGTTCTTTAGAGTTTCTTCATCTGAAATAGAAACAGAAAATAAAAACTGAATTAAGAGGAATTTAGGCTAAGTTGCCCTTGAATTCACATGCAGTAGGATTATGGATGTATAACTGAAAGATACTGTGGTTCAATATTGCTGAGCTTTGCAGACTGTTTTGCTTTGTCTTGTCAATCAGTCAATTAGCTCATACATTTGCCTTATAAGGCCAGTATGAGGACGTCAAAATATCATAAGTTAATTTTATCAATTTTACTTAGTCAACGCAAGTCCTCAAAAACTAAATTCAAAGTTATTGTGTAAAGTGAACAGTGATTAATTGTATGAAGTTAATTTAATGATCTAGAAAGACTGCTAAGGATTAATTGCACTCTTTTTTAATATATCGAGATAAAACTATGGTTGATTCTAGTTAAGCACTCCCTACATCCTTTACACACAAACCTAACACATTTGTTCTACTAAGTACTTTTAATGAAAGGGGCGTAATAACAAATTCAAATGACACAATCCTGTCACTGCAGAAGTTGGGCACAGCACATTCCCCAAATCATTAGTTTAAACTGAATTTCCCTGAAGCGAGCCTACTTCCTTTCGAAAAGGGAGGAAGAAGTAGATGCCTATCAAAAGTAATATAATGGACCAATAAAAAGCATTACATAAAATGTAATCAATTATCTGCAGTTCAACAAATAACTTACCATTGAGCTGTTTGCCAAAAAAGAAATGCAACTTTAGAAAACTTATACTCATAACCCGGAAAGTGGTTCTTTCAGTTGCCTCGACAGTTGGACTTGGTCTGCATTGAGGAACAGATGTTTTAAGTTACGTCCAAGATGTTCTTTTATTAGGAAAAAAACAGACCCAAACGTTTATTGTGTGAGGTGATAGACTGACAATTACATAACCCTCTTATCAATTACCTTTGGAATGTTGCATTACTGGGGTTAATTTGTGTCCAATCACCATGGTAGTGAGAGCAAATAAGTAAACATTCTTCTAATTCTACACCTCTGTCGCATAGATCTTTGAGGACCATGGAAAATGTTTATAGATAAAAATATGTAATTCAAGTCAATCTGTGATTAAACTAAAAGATTGTTGTTTTTCTCATCTGTATTATCCGATCCTTCGTTTTCACAAAAATAGCAAAAACAACAAACATATCTTTGTTGCACCCACAAGTGCAGTTATTAAGGTACTAGTTTCGGAGTCATAAATTAAAACCACAGTTGGCCAGAAGTTTAGACTGCACCGTTTCTTGAATAAAGAGTAAAACTAGAACTAATCACAATTTATTCATTTTCATCATAATGGTTCATTTCAGGAACAATATGCGCACTTGTCATTGATCATAACAGTTGTGTCTTATATATGACAGAGTCCTGCTGTCTGTGAAAGAAGAGTCAATTATTTCGTATGCATATGGCAGAGCAGCCTTCTCTGGCCAGTCTCTCTGAACGGTTATAAAGTTAGTCCTTTTATACAGTGTAACAAGCAAAGTTTGGCATAAATCAGTGGTTCTCAAAGTTCTATGGTCCGCGGACCACTTACACCAAGTCACCGATGTGGTGGACTATCTACAGTATGTCCACTTTTCACCCTGTAAAAATCATCACCTATTAATGTACTAAAAATAACTAATATTGAATTAAATTTGATGAAAAGTACTAATATTTTTACCATCAAAGCTGCCTATTTATTAATATATTTATTAATAACGTTTTTATTACTTAAAAAGTTCATGTGAAGAATGGAGCTGCTTTTGTTGAGCAATCAGAGAAGTGATATCTGGATCCAAGCTGGACAACTTTGGTCTCACGTCCGGAAGCAGACGCAGACATCACATCAAGCAACCTTCTGCTTCCTTGCACATCACATTTATCAAGCTGTTGGAATTAGAATTACAGCACTGCTGGTATGCTTCACAAATTACCTCACTCGCATTTTCACTTCTATTCTGTATCTTACTCGCACTTGCGCTGTCACTATCATCGCTATATTTGCGTTTCAGAGTCCCAGATTTAAGCCAGTGCTCCACAATAACCCTTCTGCTTTGACTGCTTCTTTAAATTACACTTTGAACTTTCAAACTGAAAGGCGGCTATTCAAAAATGAGAACACAACGGTACGAAATGGAGTTTATAACGAAAGTTCAGGAGGGATGACAACAGCCAAACTCAGTCGTACTCAGCTGTCAGTAATTAGCAATCGCTCCCGTCATCCTTCCTCCACCAAATGCTATAAATACCAACGTGATTTCCTACTCTCCCTCGCGTGCGACTTTTGCATCCCACCTCCACCTCAACTCCACCTCTGCAGGGACCCCTTGGTTACCCTGCGTAGGGGTCCTGGTCTCCTCGTCCTATGGCCAGGAGGCCGGCCCTCAGCCAAGCGGGTTAAGCCAATATCCGCTCAATAATAGTTCTCCATAACACTTTGATCTTGGACGTTGTCGTTCTTAGTGAACAATAACAAGTGCAATGGTCGAATCACACTCACATATCAAAACGTTAACAGCGTAACCACGCAATCATGACACCTAATTCAAAACCTGGGGTTCAAAAAAAGATTGTAGATCGGGTTGGTCTTGTGCGGGTTGATACTGTATATGACCAAAAGCAAAATATTGCAGAAAAACGATCATTTTGTATCTTAAATTAAAGTGATTTAAAGGTTTAAAACTGATGATTTACCATATTTAAGCCCCAATTGGTTGTATCACAAGGCAAAGTGGGAGAAAAAGTAAGCAGTGTATTACAAAGAAAAAAACATAATGGCAACCTCGTTAGAGCAGATCAGAATACAACTCCATAACAGTGAGATACAAATAAAGAAGAGAGAGCGACAAAAGAGCCAGGTGGGAGACGTTTTTTCAAGCTAGTCAGAAGAACAGAGTAAAAAAGCACAGGTTAAGTTATCTGCATTGATTGTGAGGCACTTTACATAGATGACAGTCACAAGACTAGGCTACATTAGTCTGTTTAAAACGAGGAATCTGGATGTGCTGTTTCAATAAATGTTGATCAAATGAATGTTTGAATATCGTTCGGAGTGGGTTCGGACCGGCTTCAGGTCAGTACTTTTCTCACTTTAAATCAGGTTGGGTGGGTGCAGGTAAAAAAAAGGCCGACCTGTGCATCACTAACGACAATAAACTGCTGCACGGTGGCAAGGATGTCTCGTTTTTAGTGTGTGACCTCATTTCATTCGTGGTGCATAAAACACAAACACTGAATCGATAGGCACTGATGGGGAGAATGAAGAGGCGAGGTAGTCCGCCATAACTCAAATTCGTTAAAACACAAAGGCAACAGAAGGGTACAGCAAAGGAGAATGAATGGAATCTTTGCCCTTTCTGCAGATCTTCAAGTCAGCCAAGCCTACAATTACACTGGTGCTCGCCCCATTACTGACACACACAGTCCCCTTAATGGCTGGTGAAACCCCGATACCTAGAACCAACACATAAGTCCCTCCTCCCATATTTACAGCTTGCAGTTTTTAACAGTGCTCCTAGGGGAGCCCCTTTGTGGCAAGCACTACAATATTCTTTCCTCTAACTTAAACAGCGTAGACTTGTTTTAATAATAATAATTGCTTACACTTATATAGCGCTTTTCTAGACACTCCACTCAAAGCGCTTTACAGGTAATGGGGATCCCCTTCACCCCCACCAATGTGCAGCATCCAACTGGATGATGTGATAGCAGCCATAGTGTGCCAGAACGCTCACCACACATCAGCTATCAGTGGGGAGGAGAGCAGAGTAATGAAGCCAGTTCAGAGATGGGGATTATTAGGAGGCCATGATTGGTAAGGGCCAATGGGAAATTTGGCCAGGATGCCGGGGTTACACCCCTACTCTTTTCGAGAAATGCCCTGGGATTTTTAATGACCACAGTCAGGACCTCGGTTTTACATCTCATCCAAAGGACGGCGTCTGTTTACAGTATAGTGTCCCCATCACTATACTGGGGCATTAGGACCGACATGGACCACAGGGTGAGCACCCCCTGCTGGCCCCACTAACACCTCTTCCAGCAGCAACCTTAGTTTTTCCCAGGAGTTCTCCCATCCAGATACTGACCAGGCTCACACCTGCTGAGCTTCAGTGGGCTGCCAGTTGTGAGTTGCAGAGTGATATGGCTGTTTTTAAGAAAGATGATTAGGTCAGCCCGCGGACCACTGGTGGTCCACGGACCACACTTCGAGAACCACTGGCGTAGACAACAGATAACGCAATATCCTTAACAAATGTTAACAAACAATTATTTTTGAGCTGGGTTAATGGACAAACCATTCTATATATTGGAAAGTTTTAGAGCACAGCTTCAGAAGAGAGGATATGTGTCCAACGTTTCATAAGGCGTTGTGCTCATGTTATTCTTAGTCTTGCTGACACAACACAAATCCTGTGGTGCTCGCAGACCCACAAAGGTGAACAGTTTAATTATTTGCCGAGATGCAAGAAAGATTAAAGAAGAGTAGTTTAACATTTCTTAATTCCTCATAATGATAAAGTAAAACATGTACTTTTTTTTCAATCATGTTACATAATTTTAATCTGAATTTCTATAACCATACAGTATATATATATATTAACCCTCATCCTCATGGGTGGTGAAGGATTTAGGCTACCCAGCTACACTAACAGTGACAAATATAGTTTATTTTCGTGGTCTTAGAGATTATATGAAAAATAATCCTGGACAAATTTGTAACTATGTTAGGTTACGTCAAATTAAGAGCATTCAAATGATTTTATTTTACAAGTATGTAAGTGCTAGCACCTAGTACTTTAAGAATACTAGCTAAAAAGTTTTTTTTTACTTTATATCAAATCAGTATAGTACAGTAACCTTTATGTTAACTAATACCTACAAGGCTCATGATATTAAAGAGATACTGGGTGATTTCATTGGACTTTTTTGCATTGTATGGCACAAACTAGGTATGAAAAGGTGTCTTATCATTGTATTAAGATTGTAGTGATGTACAATCTTGTACAACCAATGGCAAGACACCAAAACAAACTACAGCTGTAACCATTCCTTAATAAGTAAGGGAATAAAGGCAAAATGTTCAGACATGCTTTGTCTTAACGCGCTTGTGTATCCTATATCCTATCTGATCAATGATGAAAAAAAATATTGTATATATAACTATATACAGTATGTATATTTCTGGCTCTGTGACATTCTTTGATATTATTCTTTAATATCTCTTCCACTGTGTCTGTGTTTTTTTAAATGTAAATACCTAATATTTAAAATCTAATCTAATCTTGAAGGTAATTATTTAATAAAGTTTATTGCCTATATTCGTGTTTATATGCCTCTGTTCAAACCCTGAGCTTTCTTTTTCACACATTGTGACCTATCGCTGCTGGGACAAGAGGACCCTGTGGCTTTCTGATCATTTCTGAAGGCGAGAGGTAAGAGTTACCAGGTTGTAGAGCTGCCAAGTTTGTAGGAGCCTGTGAGAGCCTGTGGCTGCTCACTAACTCCAGAAATCGTTCCCACACTTTGTGGAGACAAACTGGAGATTGAATCTTAACAGCTGCATCAGTATTGTGTAACATCCAGTCAGTTCACTTTGTTGTATATGGTGTATGATTGGTTTGTTGAGACAGAAATTTAGACAGAAATAAATTGTTTGTAAATTATTAGACCACAGCTGGGATGAAAGCTGTTCAAATATTTGTCTGAGTGGATGTATATAGAAACATGCAAATGATTTTCTTTATACTTTTTGCAAATGGCCAGTATTACCTCAGTGTGTATTGTCCCAGTTCTAGCTGTTTGCATTTACATATGAGTGTAAGAAAGTATACAGTCAGGAGCGGTTTAGGAGCTAATTGATCCTAGAATCTTATCCAGCTTTTTCCTGAAAAAAGTGATGTTATCAGCTTCAGCAATATGGCGGGGTAGCTTGGTTTCAGACTTCAACAATTGAAATGCTCGTCCTCTTATATTCAACTTGTGCCATCTGGTTCATGTTTCATTGCTAATTTCAATAACTCCAATGAGCTGATTTTGCCACCATCCTCTAGGGTGAATACCTGAATTGTAGGCTAAACAGATCCGGCTTTTTTAGTCCAACAGAGTAGGATATTTCTTTGAGCTGGAATGTACCTGATTACTCTTCGCTGATCTAATTCCAGAGTATCTTCTTTGTAACAAAGTGATCAAAGATTTTTACTATATATATATTTTGTTTCAGAACCAGGATGATGTATAGTTAAATTTATTACAGCTATATTAATTTGTCTCCTTATTGCTTTCCCACCTTAAAAGATGGACATTTTATTTCAACCTAAGTCTTTTTCTTAGGTTGCTTCTTCATATATCACATCTTATAGCAGTAGTTTTTGGCTTTTCTACCTGCATGTACCTGAATCTACAGGTAATTATTCTACATTAAATATCATCTGCCAGATGTTTGCACAGTCTTGAGTTGTAGCTTAATCGTTTTGAATTTCTATTGCTGGTTCTACAATGTTTGTTAATTATTATTCAATTATTACAAAAATGTAGTATAATATCTCTCTGTAGACGATTTCACACTTGTTACTTTTATTTCCTTGTTTTTCGTAAAAACACATTAAAACTCATCACTTGTATCAATGTTGAGCAAATTCCAACTTGAAATCTCACACAGACATGATCTGCTATCAGCCTGCCATCTCTGTACTTTGGTATTGTAATTAGTTTTACAGATTAGCAGTAAAGGTGCAAAATGGCTTTCAGATCACTACAGGTAAATCATACTGCTCTTTGTCACTTTCTGTTACTTTTACTATTAAAAGGAAAGGAAGCGGCTGTAGTCTTTTAAAATTGAACATAGACTTAATATGTTTCTGCACAATTGTTCTTTCTTTCTGTTTATCATTGTGGAATTGACTCCTTTTGTTCCATGAATTCATTGAATGTTAAATTTGTAATTAATTACACCGTAAGCAAACAACTTTTAAAATACAGGTGCATTTCAATGTTCTTTGATTAACCTGAATTCTGCTTTCTAAGTACTTCATAATGATATTTATATAAATTAAATGAGAAAAATGTGTTCTGGATAAAACAATTGCCATCAATTGTAATCCAGTGAAATGGAAATTTAAAAAGTATGAGAGGAAAAGAATAAAGCATCAATGAGTATATAATACAACTTATTATGAACTTATATATATATAAGTTCACAAGGCAAACAAAAAGATAATGCTCTACAAAAATACTGTGGAAATTAAACGCAGATAAAATATTTCAAGTAGTTTTTGACTAGAGTTTCAAGTAGTCAATCTTAGATTTGTTCAGACTGTTTTTTTTAAAAGGCCTATTCATGCATTCTCTCTATGTGATGTTTGAAAAATAGCTGGTATTTGGGAGCAATGAGACATGCAAAGACTTGGGGAAAAAAAAACAGCTGTGGTTTAGCATTCCATGCTGTGCTGTGTGAAAGCGAAAAGCATATCCGTTCAGTGTGAGAATTTGATCAACAGTTGTGGTCTGCAGTGGGGAGTCTTGAGAAGGTGGGTTCTGAGAGAAGTTATAACCTGAGGTACAGTATATAACTCAGTTAAGGATAGGTCCTGATGCCTTGAGGGTGTCTGTATCCTGGGGGCCCAGTGCAAAAGCTGAACTGTGGACCCATGTTGTGTGATGATGATGATAACAATATTCTTACACTTATATCGCTCTTTTCTGGGCACTCCAATGAAAGTGATTTACACAAATAATTCCTCTCCACCACTACCAATATGCAATCCCACCTGGATGATGTAACAGCAGCCTTGCCTTGAAGGGATAAAGTTGTATTAATTTATTAATTCAGCAAAAACAGACATGATTCAATCCTTCAACCCTACTGGGTAGTAGCTATGATTCATCTGCTAGGGGAAGTTAGTCTTTGACCAATCCAAGAGAGAGTATTGTTTCAAGCAGTACTTTATAACTCTCTCTCCTTCCTTGTTTTCAGATAGAAGGTGAGGAAACAGAGAAGTAACACCCTGCAGAGACACAATGACAAAGCTGACTAGTTTAGCAGGTAAGATTTACTTAACTGGGACATTGAAGTGGTGCTTTTACAATAGTTAAACTTTTATGGAAAAATGACAAGAGAAGTAAAATAAATAATTAAAATAATAAAATAATAACTAAAATGTGATGGGTCAGTCACACTGGCTTTATTTTCATGGAACATGGTTCAATGGCAGAACAGCTTTCTTTCTTAGTGATTTTTAGTAAGATTTTCTCATTAAAAGTAAAAACATGAAACTTTTATCAAGAATTAATTTATTGTCCTGGTTTAGGTTTTCTATCTTTGCATGCACAACATAATTGCTGCATTACTCTGGTGTGTCACATGAACTGGGCAATTTTCTTGCAAATATGTGATTGGGTAACAGCAAGAGCTCTAGAGCTCATTAAAGGTTGTGTTTCCTTGTGATGAAACAAACTGATGGTTTGCTAGTAACATCCTGCCTGTGTCTCCCTGACAGGTCTGTGCCTCCTGCTGTTTCAGCTGGGTAAGTGAATGGTTCAGGGCCAGACATGTTTTGTCCAGCTGTTCCCCTCTCTGTGACTTTACTAGAGCCCATCTCCTCCTGTGCTCATTTTTCCAGGTTCTGCCACCAAGCTGGTGTGCTACTTCACTAACTGGTCCCAGTACAGACCTGGAACTGGACGTTTTTTGCCTGACAATGTGGACCCTCACCTGTGTACCCACCTGATCTATGCTTTCTCCGTCATCAATTATGCTAATGAGCTGGTCACCTATGAGTGGAATGACGAGACTCTGTACCAGTCCTTCAACGCACTAAAGAATAGGTATGTGTTTGGAGTTCATGGGTGAATGTTGTTATGCCCTTACATCACCTCTGTGATGTAAACAGTCTGTGGTCCAACTTTGGCAAGTGCTTCAGCACGGTTTTCACAATATTACTGGAAGCGTGCAGTTTGTTCAAATCAGACACTCAGATGTAATGTTGCAGTCATTATGAAAATTTCAAATATATTCAATAGTGTATGTGTTTCAGAAGATATTACCTGGGGGTGTTTTATACACATTACTAACATGTCAGAATGTTCCAGTATTCCAAACTCATAATTGCAGGAACAATGTTTTTGTTATATTCTTGCTATTACCACTTCATTTCTGTACAGGTTTTAGGATGCTGCTACTACCTTACTTGGTCTGATGTTTATCAGTGAGACACTGATTATTTTTTCATTTACCAAGGTTACAATATACTGAGAATTATTAGCAAATCACAAAAACGGTACAGCTTCAGTCATTATCCATCATATGTTTGGTTCAGGAATGAAAGGCTGAATACCCTTCTGTTGCATCTCATTGGTTTCAATGACAGTATGCTGTATTTTCAGTTTAATGTAGTAGCAGTGCTCTGTAAAATCAACCACACCACTGCACGGTCCAGTGAATCATTTTCTGTCCTGCTCTTTCACAGGAACCCTCAGCTGAAGACTCTGCTGGCTGTGGGAGGGTGGAACTTTGGGACAAGCCAGTAAGTTTTTGTTTCTTTTATGCATTTACTGTAACTGCACATAACAAGACCTCAGTGTTCCTGGGACTAGGAAGAAAATCAGAAATTAGGATCACATTTTTTTGTTTTTCATTTGTTTTTATTGTTGTGGCTATTGTCCTAAGCAATTAAATGAACATAACTTGTTCCTGTGCCAAAAGGCTGAGTTTAAACTAAGTGTAACGTGCTATGAAGAAGAATGCATGAAGATACTCTCACATTTTTATGAAAGCTATAGTTTTTTAAATCTTTTAAACATTGGGTGCTCCTACAGTTAAAGGACCCAAAGAATCTAAAAGCTTCACAGCTCAAGGGCAAAGTATCCATAGATTTTGCCAAAGCTATTTGAATCAAATGGCTTTTTTTATTCCTTTTTAGGAACATATTTATAGCAAACAAATTATGCCTAGGGACATTTTTTTTACAGCAAGAAATTGTTCTGCCTGTACAACTGAAACACATTTTGGAGTACTTTCACAATGCTTTTGTTTTTTTAATTAATCCAAACATTTCTGGCTCGTGCATGCCAAACAACATGGTCTTTTACATCATCCCTGAAGGAACTGTATCAGAGATATTTTTTTAACTGCACTGCATCGGGGAGAATCAGTATATCTTCTGGGAAATACATTTTTCCTGCATCAAAGTTTAACTCGTTCAGAGCGCCACACACAAACACACACACACATCAGGGCCAGTTTTCCCATAAGCCAATTAACCTACCAGTATGCTTTGGAGTGTGAGAGGGAATCATATCACACGGAAGAAGAAAAACCACAGAACCCAGAAAGAACATGCAAACTCCACACTCACAGGATGGCAGGAATTGAACCAAGGGCCCCAGTGCTGCAAGATAGCAATGCTAACCACTTCACCACCATTAGAAAGGGTTGGATATCTTATCTTTCTAGTTCAGAGGTTTGTGTGCATAATTCAATTTTGAAAGCCACTGAGACATCTGGTACTACTGTTGTATTTACGGAAAAAAAAACCATACAAAAAGCATACTAACAACTGTGCCATCCTATTCTTTAGTTAATAGATTTTATTTTTATAAACAGTTATAAACATATTTTAGCAAAATATTTTGAATGATATTTTCCCCTATTTTTTCTTTAGTTGTGTATTTAACTTATTTTCTGATAGTCAGATTTAATGTATATTTGAAGTACTAAAATATATTTTTACAAGATGTGGGGAAAAGTGCAACAATTAGTGCTAAATTTAATATTATTGATTACTAATAGTTTACGCTAACACCTAACTTTCTTAATTTGATGTATTTAAAACAATGAATTAAGTGTAACATAGCATTCAGAAATACAATCGAGAATAGTTTTGAGGTGTATGTATAGATTAAACTTTTCTAAAATGTATAACAAAATTAAAGACAATTAAAATTTGTAATTTTTCCACCTGTCATTAGAAAGTACAATAAGTTCCTGTTTTGTCTAACAATGGTATCAAAAAGTAGTCTAAGTGGTGATAAACCTGTGCTTAATGATAATCAAGGGACTTAGAAGTCAAAGAAAATGATTTATGTTGTTTAATTTTAAACACTAAATTATGAATGCAGATGCAATTGGTGCAATACTGAGCTCCGCGCTCCCTCCCTCCCTCGGTGCCGCCTCCCCTTCTGACACAGCACAGCGGGCAGCAAACTGTTTTCAGAGCCTCTGATTGGGGGAAAAAAGACCTGCTGATCTGTTATACAGTACATACCAGGAAGACAACAGAATATGATTTTTTCTATTCAAAACATGTGTTGTTTTTATGAAATTCGTGTATTTTAAACGTTTAATTAAAAAGTTAAAACCTTACAGCGTACACAGAGATTCTAAGCTGATCACGGGGAAGAAAAAGCACCCGTTTTTTTTGCACATAAAAAGTGGTTATTAACTATCGAAACCTGATTTTATAGCTTTTAAAGTCGTGCAATGTCTAAGCAGGAACACATTATTATATCTCATTTTTTATTTATTTTTTAAGAATTAAAAAAATCGTTTGCCCAGCCTAATTTTAAAGACCTCTACTTGTGAAACTTTTCGCAGCCTGTACATAAAACTATATACACAATACTGCTGACAGCAGGAAAATTCCTATTCTTTTACTCAGCAGCTTATTAAAAACAGCACCCATGGTGTTCAAACCGTTTTTTTGTTGTTGTTGTTGTCACAGAAGAGTGGCACAGCTACACGTTGTGAATCTGTTTTTCTAAGAAAACATTTGTAAGTCTGTCCGTGGGGGGAAGGTGGACTGTCTTTCATTGGAAGGCTTGCCCTATTTTACTTTGAAAATGAGGAAGCTGAGAAAACACCTGTGAGACAAGTTTGTTTACAAACAATGTAGACACAGACTCAGACTTTGTGGAATGAAATTTGACTATTCTGCTTTGAAAATGAGGAAGCTGAGAAAATACCTGTGAAACCAGTTTGTTTACAAACAATGTAGACACAGACTCTGACTTTGTGGAGTGAAATTTGGCACAGCCAGCACTCCCGCATGCCAGCAGACACAGAGAGTCCCAGCCGGGCGCTCCTCGGCCACAGCGCCAGGCAAATGCACTACATTAATGTAGGGCTTTCGGGCTCACACCCTGCGGTACCGCTGTGCACATACAGTACGAACATGTTGTGATATTTAGAAATCTAAAATATGTCAATATAAGCCAATAATATTTGCTATTTTAGTTTTTCAAAGAAATGTTTATTTTATTAAAAGAAACACCCACCCTCATCTTTATAGGTTCAGTCACTTAAGCCATCATGCCACATATCAAGCACTGAAACAGCAATACACATATCAATGGAAAGTCTTATACTACTGCTTGTGCAACAGTACATTAATATAATTACATTGTTATTAATTTATTTAGATACGAATTCCATATTATATTCCCTATTAATCCAATTCTAAAGGTATGCATTTGTTTACTCCTATAATGAGCGTATTCGCAGAACAGGTTAAAATGATCAAATTTCACAAAGTATATAAACGTACAGTACAGTAACATGGTCAGAAGGAGCACGTAAAAACGTTGCTGAAATAACCAAATGTAAGGCTTTGATGCTTTAAATGTTTAGGGAGAAATGGAATACTGGTGTGTATTTTTTCTTTAAACTACCAAGACCAGCCATATACAGTACAGTTTACATAATATGTTTATGTTCCTAAATTAATATAGTTTATGAGCATGTGAAAAGCATGGTGAATCAGAGATTCTCAAGACTTACGTTGTATGACTGGAAATGAATACGTGATTGGATCAACGAAATGCTGTGGTGTTAATTTTTGTCAATGAAGATGATTACAAAGAATGTGGACCAGGGTAATACTTTCAGTTTACAGCTTGTCCGAGGTCATTCATTATTAATACTATTAGTAATATCTTCGGTAAAGACTTTGATGCATAAAATATTTCTGCGTAATTCAAATATTTGTGATAAAGGTGGTAGGTTGTGTACTTTTGTCCAACAGCAATCTTGCTATCATAAAATATAGCAACTTTTTAATGTATAATGATTAACATTCTCTAATACACAGTTTAAATTTAAAAGTCTAAAGTGTATACAACTTAAATTCTTAATCAAATAAAGATTGTCCCTCAGCAGTGATTGGGATTTGAAACAAGGTGTTTTCTGGTGACAGCTCAAATGCTGTACATGAGAGGTTAAGCTTTATTAGCTCCACCTGGCAGTTTTACAAGGTGATTCTGGATACTATGGCCATATCTAATTTGCATTAATGTGGTATGATGCGAAATGTTGCGATATGATGCGACATGACCACTGCATTGTACCGCGTTTTGACTAGCTGCATCTGTAGATTCCTGTTGGACAGCACCTTAGTACCTTTGGGACTGCATTCTCTTTTTCATTTTGTTATACCCTTGTGTGTCTCATTGTCATTATTGATAACACTTCAGATTTTTTTTCTGAAATTAGCTCTGATTTATGCTAATGATAGAGGAAGGGCTTGAAAATGTCCTAAAAATGTACAAGCAAATTCGAAAGTAAACCCGAATACCTCAAACTTTCAGTGAAAAAAAAATGACAATTAAACACTTCAGGCATTTTGTTTGTAAATAGACATTCAATAGAAGCAAGTTTAATTTCTTCTGTCCAGTAGAAAATTGATCTTGGATGATCGAATACTGACAACAACCGTTTCCTTTCCAACTTACCATTGACGAATAGAGCAGCTGGAGGTTATGACAAATATTAAAGAAAGAAGAAAAGCCATCAATCGAATCTGTGTGATGCACTGAGGCTGAGGGATTGACCCTTTGATTTTGTTCCCTGGTTTTATTACACAGTGTCCTCCAAGATTCAGTCAATCGTAGAGATCTTAATAGAGTCACTGAAGCGGTTACTAAGGCGATTGGACCAAATCCCAGCTATCTCAAAGTCTTAATCACTGAGGAGTGTGAGCTGCCTGGCAGATCCGCGGGGCTATGGACCTCTGGGACCGGGCACGGGCGTCACAGGATTAACCCTTTCCTTGCCTGTTCTCCCCAAGGTTCACCATCATGGTTTCTTCAGCTGCAAACCGGCAGAGGTTCATCCAATCGTCCATCCGTTTCTTGCGGACGCACGGCTTTGACGGGCTGGACCTGGACTGGGAATACCCTGGAGCACGAGGGAGCCCCCCAGAGGACAAGCAGAGGTTCACGGCGCTGGTTAAGGTGGGTCAAGTCATGGCAGCCTTCCCCGAACAACACAGCATTTATGGATATAATAATTCGTTTTCATAGTTTTTTCAAGTTTTGATTGTAACATATCAATGTGATCTGCAATTTTACAGAGAGGCTTTGAGGCAATTGTTGTTTTCAGTTGAATCATGCTGCCATGAAGTCAGAGAACTTCACTTTTATTTTTCATATTTCATGCTGCCTTGTGTTGGAGGACAATGTTCATGATTGTTTCTATGCAGCATGTGGGCTGTGGCAGTAACTCATGCTAAGACATGGCAATTTCGGATTAAGAAGATAAAAAATAGAAAACAATTAGTGATTCTTAATGTTGGAAAAAATATTCCTGTCAATGACTCACTAGCAGTTGTCTGTGGTAAGCAATAATTATTAAATGAAGCCAACACGTGACGTTTTCAGCATTTTAACTTTTCTGATTTGTTTAATACCCTGATGTCCATTTCTCTGTGGCTGCAGGAGCTCTTAGCTGCGTTTAAGGATGAGGGTCAGAAAACTGGGATGCCCAGACTGCTGCTCACAGCTGCAGTGGCTGCCGGGAAAGGCAACATTGACAATGGCTATGAGATTGCAGAGATCTCCAAGTGAGTCTGGAGTTCTGTCTTAGACTCAGAAGCTATTAACAATCAGGCACATTGTGTCTTGGATCTGTATCAGTTAAACATATGTTTAGAATCCCTACATACAGTATATCGATGCATAATACATATATTAAAGCTGTTTTGAATGCTAGCCATTATTTGTAAACCAGCATGGTTATAAATATTCTTTGGGTATCACAGTGATGTAGCAGTTCGTACTGTTGCTTTGCTGCTCTATGAATCTGGATTCTGGGCTGGAGAGCATTCTGAGTGGAGTTTGCTTTTTTAGCATGTTCATGTAAGTTTTCTGTCAATACTCCCAGAGTATTGAGTATTTTCTTTCATGTCCCAGAGACATACATACATTAAAGTGGCTTTTGAATGTTAGTTAAGAACTCACTTTACAGAAAGGATTTATAAAACCATGGTACGGAGGCAGTCCTTCAGATTATGGAGATTTAAAGTACCCCTGAAGGAAGGGCCCAAATGTAAAATTGGGATTCTCTACTGAAACCTGGAGGACCTTGAAGAGAAACACATTTTCTTCTGTGTCTCTCTTTCAAGGTACCTGGACTTCATCAGTGTGATGACCTATGATTTCCACGGAGCCTGGGATCCCCTCACTGGACACAACAGCCCCCTATACCGCGGCTCCACTGACAAGGGAGACCTCATCTACTTCAACATTGTGAGTAAAGTAGAGGGCCAAGGCAAAGCCAAGTGCCTGGTTGGCATTGAATAAAAGTTTTATTACAATACATTTTTCAGATGTTTCATCTTCAAATACACTAAACGTTTACTTGCTAACAAATGTCTATGTATAGACATTTTTTAAATTGAGTGGTATGTACCTTCTACTGACCCAGTGCAAAATTGTAAAGTTCTGGTAATGTAATAATGACCTGCTCTTTTCCCACTCTTTCTCTCCCTGGCCTCAGGACTTTGCTATGAAGTACTGGAGGGATCAGGGAGCTCCTCCGGAGAAGCTCCTCCTGGGATTTCCCACCTATGGCCGCACGTTCCGTCTTTCCTCTTCTGACAGCAAAGTTGGGGCTCCAGCCAGTGGGGCCGCCTCCGCTGGCCAGTACACCCGTGAAGCAGGCTTCTGGTCTTACTATGAGGTGAGCAGGACAGAAGAGGAGATTCTAATGTGCTCTTCCTGCATTTAAAACTACTTAATTGTCCATTTATTCCTATTCCTAGCTCCAGTCCTGATAAAACATCTACTTTTAAGAAACACACCATCACAGGAGCAAGTCTTTACTTGTAGTGTGTATTTAGGACCCTATGCAGATTATATAATCCGGAACATACTGGAGAAGGACAAAAGGGAAAAACATGGAGAGGAATGGATGAGAGTACTGATGGGGGGTGGTACCAATAGTGATCTTGGTGCTAGGGGGTTCACAGGCAAATAAGTCCAGTGGGAGTCCAAAAGGGAAAAACAGGGCCCAGTCCAAAGTCCAGGTAGCTGGGAGATCAATCTAAGACAGACAGTTAAAACAGGAACCGAGTTGGAACCAGAACAGGAACAGGGAAGTTAAAAACACAATCATGAGGCCAGGTGCTCCGAGCCTCGGACCCAGACGGTCAGGAGGCCATGATGAAGCCTATGCTGTTGGGTTTCTCCTGGACCCAGTGGTAGGCGGGCTTCTGGGTATCCATCTTCCAATACTGAGCCCAGAGCTTAGGAGGCACGTAACTTATATAGTGACAGGTTAAACAGGAGACAGGTGAACGTAATAATGAAACTAACAATAAATGTTCGGAGAGCCCTGTAGAGGAGGGATGACGATTATGACACATACTTTAAAATCAGAAAAGTGCAAGAAATGATTTAGCTAAAAGGATTTTTATTGTGTCACATAGTACTCTGTTCCAGGGTCAGTAAAGAGTGAGATCTTTTTTAAAAGCTATAGATGCTATAGATCTCATTAACATGTCACCTTTTGGCCAAGTTGAGTTTAGAGTTCAGTTCTGACTTTTGACAGTTATAAGCTAATTCAACAATAATTCAACTCCTGAGAATAGGAGGCACTTTGCCTAAAGAGGTGTCTGCTGTTCTCAGTTATAAATAAACTACCAAGCAGTTGACTTGTGTCACCTGCTTCATGTTGCGCTGTACATTCTGAAGCAGTCTGCTGAGTTGAGTTTTTCAGTGTCTTTAAAGAGCATGAATACTTGTATAAACTTCTGTTGCAATCGTATCCGTTCAAGTTTAAATAGGTGCAAAAAAGGTCCTTCAGCCAGTCAGAGCACGACATTCCCTTTATCTTTGGATTTTTTCAATTAAACTATCTGAAGGCATCCTGTCCAGGGTGCACCCTGCCATCTGTTTGTTCCTTGCAGAGATCGACTACGGCTTCCCTACAACCATGAAGTAGAAGAAGCAGATAGAAAATGAATGAATCTATCTAGAGGATTTTTCATTCTTAGTTATAATTTGTCAACCAAATTGTGACCAAACTTTAAAATGAATAAAAAAATTAGAAATAGAAGATTGCGCAAAATCTCATAATCTGCTAAGGCTCTCCCTCAAATCCTCTTTTCTTTTCACGTCTTTCAGATCTGCACTTTCCTCCAAGGAACCAGCATTCAGTGGATTGATGACCAGAAGGTGCCCTATGCTACTAAGGGAAATGAGTGGGTGGGCTTTGACACCAAGGACAGCTACAACACCAAGGTACAGTACCCTTGCTGCTATAAAAACAGAGACTATGATGTTGCCCCCTGTTTACCACATCACTAACCAATTCTGACTTTGGTTTCTGGAGAGGTACTTTTCAGTAAGGTCAGTCATAGACCATCTGTGAAATAAGTTCCAGGTTAACATGTCTGTATTTTATTGTTGCTTTTCTACCTCCAGCAATGGCATGCCCAGATGTTCTCTCTGAAGCAGAGCAGCAACAATAAACCTATCTTTTCCTCCTCTTCTCACTGCCTGCTCTCAGGTTCAATGGCTGAAGGATAACAACTTTGGAGGCGCCTTTGTTTGGGCCCTCGACCTGGATGACTTTGCTGGAGACTTCTGCAAACAGGGAAGCTACCCTCTCATCTCCCACCTCCGCACGCTGCTTAATATATGTAAGCTACTAGGATCCCTCTGGCCTGAATGGCAAAGTAGCGTCTCATGGCATTATAGATGAACAGGTGTTTGGATGAGGGTTCTGACCTGCTTTGTAATAAAACTAACTCCTTCACATGCACCCAACAAGTCTTTATTGTACCACGTCTTACCTGTCACTTCTGTATTTCTGTCAAAGCCCAAGCTGTGTCCAGACAGCTTGTACCATGCACTTCTTCTTAGTAGCAGAGATGCTCACTGGAGGTTAGGGTTGCTGGTTATATGTTTGCTCTTCTGTGAGCAAATGACCTGCTGATTGGTAACTCTTCCATCATCTATGGGTGACACCCGTCAGAAAGTCACACAATGACCTAAACAGTCGCTTTCTCTTCAGAGAGGCTCACCAAATATCAAGGAGCATCCAAGAGCCCAGTCACCTTCAGCAGGACCGCCTGCTCGACCCAGGACAGATTTCAGTGGTAAAAGTTTCTGTTTTCTTTTTGCAGCATTCCCAGCTTTGCCTCCCACCACTGCCCTTCCACCTGGAGCATCCTCCACCAAGACCACCACCAGAACCACCACCAAGGCCACGACTACTATGACCACACGGAAACCAGGCACTGGCTTCTGCGCTGGCCAGCCTGATGGACTATATCCCAAGACAGACGACCCTAATGCCTTCTATTCATGTGCACATGGCATTACCTACATCCAGAGGTGCGGTGCTGGGCTGGTTTTTAACAACCAGTGCAAGTGCTGCAACTGGCTATAGGGACGAGGTAATCAGAGCGTATATTCCCTGCTCAGCGCCACCACCACCACCTTGTAAGCTCAAGCACAGCTAACTCCCTTAAGATTTTGCCCAGCAAATGAAACACAATGCTGCCTTTGACTATTCCTACTAATGTTTCTGACCAGCTTTTAAATAATAAACTATGGAGCAACATGCCTTAATGTTTTGAAGTTATTTGCCTGAATCATGTGAATTATCTTTCCAGCTGGTAATGGTCTGTGACAGAGCTTCCTGACCTTCACGTGTAGCGTGACCTACACACATGAAGCCCTAATACAGTGTACCTACACCCTACTCACTCGCTGCAAACTGAATAATATATCTTGAAAAGCGAGAAGCCAAGGCAGAGAGTGGACCCACCCAGGTATAAACCTTCACACACTGACAAGGTCCACAACCTGCTTTTGTCTCACCAGATTCCCCTGTGAACCTAATTTTAAATGACGGAAGAGCAGTGCTGTGTTCTGCTTTAAACTTTTAAACCTTAACTTTTCAAGTAAAAAATAAAACATTCTGTTCTCTTTCAGCCAATGGGAGATCCAGCCTGCTTCTCCCTTCTCCATTGTGGGAAATAATAATCTCTACCCTGGTTTAACTGTAACCCTAAACTAGCCTGACTCCATGACTGGTCAGTTTAGACTCTTAGACCTGCCTTCCGAACCTCTTTGTGATCAAACACACTGCTCTCTTCACCTTCTAGAAACCTGCTGCACTTTTTTGCTGTCTGTACACCCTCAGTGCTAGGGGTTGTGGGTTCAAATCCCAGGGGGTGCACTGCTGCATTCTTGAATAAGACACTTCACTTAGGTGTTTTTATAAAATGCTCAGCTGTATAAATGGATGCAATACCTCCTTCTATATGGTGTTTTATTATGGTCTGCGCTGTTCATTTCTTTACTTGTTAATGTTAACTCATAACCGTTGTGCCTATGGTCTTGTAGAGCAAAGCCTACTCTGCTCGTAGGCCATTGACTGCCACTGATCAGACCACTAGCTTATATCAGTTTTGAACAGTTTTTATTTATCAAAACACAACAAAGTCACAAACAAAAGATTGCAAACTGTACTTCCTGCAAGAAAAAGAATGATACTTTGTTAGGTCTTTAAAACAAGGTCACAACATAACAATTCTAATGCAGTTTGTTGTTAATATTATTACAAATGGAGGGTTATGCAAATGGTGAAAATCAGTATTTGACCAAGCAGTTCAGCCAATAAGTAAAATAATTATTCATAACCCCCAACTTGCAAGTGATTTCTCTAAGAAAATAGGTCAGAAAACCGAGTGGCCCACAGCTCACTTCTGTTGGAATCTCAAGGGTCACTTTTTGCATCAGATTTTGAAAATCTTCTGCTTGTGGCCTCTACTTGTTAGCTCTGCTGCTCTATCTCAGCACTAACGGTCAATTGCAGAACAACACCTATTGCATGTTGCTTTTTACTTGTAGCCTATGAGATGTCAGCTTTGGCCAAGGTTACATACACCTGTGCTACAACTGATTCTTACTGTAAATTCATCTGGACTTTTGTTGCCTACTGTGATTGGCTCAGTCACGCAAATGACTTGCAGTGTATGCTATCTTGTTTGAAAGCAGGTAATAATTTCAAATGGTTCTAAAAGTAATAACTGACCAGAGGCTAACTGTAAGTTATTCCTGCCATGTCAAAAAAAGAAAGATTGATGCAGAGGGTCAAAAATTCAACGACAAATGGTCAGAAGAGTACTTTTATGTCCCTTGGAAAGAAAAGGTAATGTCTTATCTGTCAGGAATAAATACAATGCGACCTGCACTTAAATCTGTCTCTCTGAACCCCGGATGTCACAGAAAAATGGGAGTCTATATCCCTAAAAATGCACCCTAAGCGGGAAAGACATTTCTAAGAGAGGTATCTTTTACCTAGGAAACCCAAGATCCGTAAAAAGATTAATTGCACGCTTTCTCTAGCAAAGTTCAAATACTTAGCTCCAGTCAGGTTTGGTTTGGATGATCATGACGTAGGAGCTCTCAGCTGCCGCAAGCTTAAGGTCCTGACTCTTCCAGACTACTGTCTCTCCTCTCCTTGTTTCTTCTCTTTCTCTGTCCTTATATTGATCTTATATTGTGTGTTTCTGTACCGTTCCTTGACCATCATTAACCCACAACCCACTAGGTATACCAAGGTAAACTTTACAATTGTTTGCTCAAGGGACCACCACCAAAAGCAAAAAGTAATTTAATGTTTAAAATATTACACAAGAATATAAGGAAGGCTACAAATCAGAGAAAGTCATTCAGTCCTCCTTTCATGCTTTGTTTTAGTAGTTCAGTGATAAGATGATCTCATCCTGCTGTTCCTTGAAAGAAGCTAAGGTATCAGCTTTGATAGCATGGCAAGGTATCTTGTTCCAAACTCCCACAAATTTACCCAGATATTCTCCATAATCGTTAAAGCTTTCAAAGACTTCACTATTTAAGGTCTTAAACACAAATATAAACTATGAACTGTATTGGACCATTTCATTTTTATCCATCTTTCTCTGACTGTAGCAAATAAACCATGTTTAAAGAAAAATCCCACAGGGTAATACAAAAATAGTATATGCAAAGTTTATACTTTTTCTATATCAGCTTCCAATATTGCAGGTCTTTAAAAGAGATTTAAAATAACATTGTTAAAACAGTTTTGTATCACATTTTACAACAGCCAGTTCCACTCAGTAAAATACATAATCAATTATACATAAAAATACATCAATTTCCCTACGGGATTAATAAAGTATTATCTCTCAGTCAAGCAAAAACAAAAACCCCGATTTAAGCTAGAAAGAGCTATCCCATTAAACAGAAGATAATAAGATGTTATTTCTTAAAAGGAAGTTTTTTTAAACTGGCTTTCCGGAGACCGACCGCCAATATCAGTCATAAGTAGAAGGGACGGGTAATTATATTGTACTTATTCGCAGTTCAAGAAAAAGGAGAACAAGGAACGCTTTTCATACTCCATCTTTACAAAAGCCATGTAACTATTGGACGCCATTTTTCTTACTGGCACCAGCGGCGCAGGCGCCATCTTTGTTCTAAAGGCACAGAGAGACGAGGAAGAGCCGACGGAGAGAGAAGAGTGGTGTGTTCTCTTGGGGGACACGAGTATATAAAATTTGTTTTTAAATATTCCGGGTAACTACATCGTTATTTAACTAAACTATGGCGTATGGTTTTGGTATTTTGTTTGTTGTTGGAGACTGTAAGGCAACGTGAAGATGTTTGTTTAGTTTGCTTTGCGGGCCCGGAAGGCCTTTTTTTGTTGTGAGTGAGGTTCAATTACCTTAAGACCTAAAAAATTACAGTATGACAGTTCATATTTGTGCTCGTCAGCGCTGTTATGTGGAATAGGAGAGTTTTCTGGTTACGGTGTGTAAAAAGACGCTTAGTTACTTTATAAAAGACGTTTAGTGATCAGGATGTGTCCGGGTAAACAAAACAACAGGCTAAATTAATTGTTAACGTATGTTTACAGGGGGAATATAAATTATTAATTGTAACAAGGTGTTTAAATGCACCTTGCAGTATAGTGGATAAAAGACACCCATTGTCTTTAAACCCCGGTAAATCTTGCTCCTTAAAAGAATGGGCTCTAATGGCTCCGTCTGGCGAGGTCTCACTCCATTATACAGTGCCTTACAGTAAGAGGGTTTTCATCATGGACGCTCAGACACGGTATCAGTAGCTACAAAATACATTAATTTACAATATTCTAACTTAATTGTTTGGGAAATCATTTTATATACATATAGTTAAGGCTTAAATGGGAAATGTTTTTAATGTAGTTAAGGCTTAAATGTTTTATCATATTCCCCATATCAATCTCCATATTCATAATATTAGTCCTGTTATCATCGAAGAGGTCTCTCACGACTTGTACTTTTCACACAGACTTCATATGTAAAGGCATGTCTAGCGTTTTCTTTTGTTCTGTTACTATATTACTTGTCACTATTCTACAGTCAGGTTATAGCAATATGGAAAATGCACAGAATGACCTTAGAAATTCAATTTGCAGTTTGTTGCATCATCAAAGGATTATACAACATGAAGCGCTAACTGATTGGCCTGGTTGAATATTATGTGAGTGGCTGTGAAGAACCATTTTTGTGAATATCTTTGTTTCTAAAAAACTGCACAAAATGATATGTGTAGTTTCTAGAAATGGCTAAAGCTCACATCTCTGAAGTGTGAAGTGAAGGTGCCTGTGGGAGGTGCGTGTTCGTGCATCTGCATGTGCAGAGTTGACCTGTGCACCACATACAAGGCTGCTGGTATCCAAATCAAGGCAACTGTAACACAAGTCACCCTCACTGGGCCGAATAACTGCAGCTTGCAAGTCAACATGGACAAATTGGGAAGCAGTATTGTTGTTCCCACCATGGGAAACTGGAAACAGTTTTCCCAGTTCTGTCTCAGTTGCTGGCCGGGTGTGCACAGTAGAACCTGAGAATGTTTCCCAGAGGATCAGCACCACTTTGGTCTCAGTCGCATGTTGGCGTGAGGGCTCCTTTTATTGGCAGGTTTTGGAGTTGCCTTGATGTCGCCATATCAGCCTCACAGCACCAAGACACCAAGAGAATTAGTGTCGTGTACCAACCTGGATGTCGCACAGGCAGGCACCTGTGGGAATACACTGGTTAACGTTAACCAGCACCAAAGAACGTGGCTGATCTGTCAGTTTCTTTACAGATTGAAAATAGGAAAACCCCAGTATTTTTTGCAGCCTTTGCAGTGCCATTAGCATACTTGTGTTTGAGTAGACATGGGGTCACCAGACCTAAACCGCACGTTATTACCCATATCATACGGTCACTTCAGAAACCTTTTTTGACCTAGAGTTGTTTGCAAAAGCTTAATAAACCAGATGTTATCCTTTCTCATCTTCACCTAGAATCTGGTTTTGTACTTTCAAAATGTCCCTGCAACCCAAAGTGTTGCAGTAGGTTATTGTTCCTCCTTATGTTTATGTGACTAAACGCTGTATCAAAATCAAGCCAAATGAGGGCAGTATTGTACCAAACTGAATGTACCTTATAAGATGTATAGTAGCTCAGTTAGACCTTTTAATCCTCACAGGTTAGTATTCTAAAATGTCTGTGTTACATAAAGCCTGCAGCTGGAGCTGGCCCTGAACATTTTTAGAATACCAAAAATGTCAGTCTCTTCTCATAAAAAAATTTAACCTTGCACTTTAATCAGCCTCAATTCAGGTTTTTTTTTTTTTAATATCGTCCCTTGCATTTATGATTAACTTGTATTAAGCAGTAAAATAACTAGAAAGAAAATGAATGCTGTTCAGTTTTCTTCAGCTTCTTGAACCAGGTTTAAAACAATACTTGTGCGGTTCATAATTTTACCATTTAAACAATTTGTGTACAGTGTTGTTGTATTTATGAAGTATATTTTTGACAGTATTATAAGAAAAGTATAGAGCATTTTAAGATTATATCAAGGTGTATTTTTTAATTAGTCAAGAGATTCAAAAAATACCGTATAACCATATTTCCTTATGGCTTTTTTTACAGCAGGAGTTTATCTATCCAATCTCATTGTTTGTTATTCAGACAATATGACACATGCGTGGTTTAAGTAATTTTCATTGTAACACTATCAATACTTGATAGCTGCTGTAAGTAAATATGGTTAAATTGGAATTTTTAAGAAAGCCATGTTGACAAGCTGGGAGAAGTACTAAAAAGGTTATTGGATTAAAAGCTATAGCAAGGTCATCGTTTTTCAAAAGCATGGATAATTCCCCCATTTCCCATGGGGGAAGGGAACAGTCCTTCCGTATAGTCTTACATCACAGTTCCTCACCTAAATTTTCAAAGAGGGGGAGTTTGTCTTCTTTCTTTCTTGATTTAGGTAAAGAAGCAACTAATTCACCAAGCCGGAAGATTTCTGGATCGGAAATATGTTTTTTTTTTTTTTTAATCAAATTTCATTATGCAGAAGACGGCTGATTTCTTTGGCTTTTTTGGCTGCTGTGAAACCATGGCAGTTTCCCTACCCCGTTTCTCTATCCTTCACTGGACACTGTAGTGGAAGATTTTTTTTTCTGGCCTCTCCTCCCCACCCCTCCCCCCTCTCGGTACTGAATTGTTTTCCTGGCCGTCTTCTGGGATCCCACTCGAGAGGAAATTTCTATTTCAGCCTGTACCCTACAACCCACCTCGCCCCCCTACACACAAAAATAAAAAAGGACTTGCCCCATCCATCTCTAGTGATGTGCAGTCTGATGTGAAGCTGTGTATCGGAGAGGGGAAGTAAAGCAAGTGTCTCTGGCCCTGTTCGTTGTAACTCATGGAGTGAGTGTTCCTTCAGGACCTGCAGGACACATCGAGTGGAAGTGGGTGAAGAAAGGAAGGACCCACTCAGCCACACCAGGTAAAAAAGGGGTGTGTCTCATCTTTCTCTGGTTAGGTGTGGGGATCTCTCATTAATTAATGTTAATGAATATATGACACCCTTGATTGTATGTATGCGAGGTGAATCTAACAGCCCTAGATTCATCTTTTCTTGTGTATATTGAAAGCATTCCCCTTTTCCAATTTCATGTTTTACCTTTATATCCTGCCTTAAACCATTGGGCAGTGCCTATTGAAGGTTTAAAAAAAACTCTTTTGGCTTTGCCAGATTCTCCATTGAAGGTCAGTGCACTCCACCTTAGGCTGTTTGCAAAAACAGAGCTGAAAAATTTAATTGTTGGCTGTGCTTTTAAAAAGTGTGGTCTAACCTGAACTGATAGAAGCATTATTATTTGTTTTTGTGTGATTGTGGTGACAGTGCTAACAGCAGACTATCTGAATAATATACTTCAGAACATTTATCTTTACTCATGAGCAGAGGAGATTCCTGCGGGCCTTGTTCTTGAAGAGACGCGACCCAAGAGAAGATCACCGTCGTTAGAAAAATAACTCAGACCAGCAGGGAAGAAGCCACAGTTATATTTCCTATCTGCTTGAGCATGTCTAACCAAGGAGATGACTGCTATTTCTACTACTATTCCACCTGCGTGAAGGTAAGATGAGTGGGGTACTTGCCATAGTGATAATGCGAAAAGCTACTCTGATGCTTTCTGTAAATTTGAAAAATAGTTTTGATTGTCCAGGCCTGGGATGTATTGATTTTGGAAATTTTATTTTCATATATTATCATTTTAAGTAGATTATAAGTCTTCTGCTCTTGTGCAAGTTTGTAAGTGCATGTAAACGTTCATTTGGTCCCTGTAGGACTGTTGGTCTCCCTGGGTTACAGAGAGGTCTTTGTTTTAATTGCTGGCCCTTTGAGCACCTGATGCATTTTGTACTGCCCTAGGTGCTACTTTATATGGCCAGATAGAAAACAGTGGAAAATACATTCCTTACAGTGTCCTTTATGGTGCACAAACCTTTATCATGCTTTCTTATCACTCAGGCCTACATTAGGTGATTTTGGTGATGTAATAAAGAGAACTGTCATTGGGTGTTGTTCTCTAGGGTCAGAACCAATGTGAAAGCATTAAATCCTGGAATGATTGACAAGAGTTTAGCTGGGCTAGCTACATTTTATATTCCAGAATTCATCATGATTCATTAGCTTGGTGGGGCTTATATTTTCAAATACAGATGTCTATAATTGTGACATTATTCAGTTAAGAATAAATAAATATTTATCATTTCCATTTCAAGAGAAAAGCAGTAAATCAATGATGTACTACAATGGTGGCCCACACTGTTTTAAAATGATAGAAGGTCATAGTTTTTAACAAAGGCTGAAACTTAAAATCAGGCTGAGGTTCTCAAGTAAAATTTTATTAAAATGGGAGGGTGGACCAGCGAATGGGTATAATTGAATGGGTAGTGTTTGCTACCCTTTTCAAAGACTTTTAAAATTCAGATTTAGTGGTTAAATGTAGTTAAGCTTTATGTGCACTTAATACAAAAATGTGACTCATCTATTTCGGCCTGTAATGGCATGTTCCCATTGCAAAAAAAACCTCCAGTTCCTACACATTTTAGATCAATCCTTGGTCACAGCTTTGAAATTTCCACAAATATAGCCATTTATTGAAATAAAAACAGGAAGTTTCTGCATAGCATTTGTTTTGTTTGGATGAAGTGTGTGTCTGGAAGGCATTTTAAAAGTGGTGCGACTCAAACCACTGTCATAATGGCGCTCCTTGCAGGGTGACAGCTGTTCCTTCCGACACTGCGAAGCTGCCATGGGCAGCGAGGTTGTGTGCACCCTCTGGCAGGAGAGCCGCTGCTTTCGCAAGATCTGCAAGTTCCGCCACACGGAGATTGAGGTGAGTCCCCCTCTGCTCCCTGTCTCCAGATTTCACATTCCCGTCGATGTGCTGCTGCCTTCAACTTCCTGTGGATTAATGCTCCTGCATAGCATATATAATCTGGACTTTTTTTTAACAGAAAAGGGAAGCATTTTTTGAATATGTTTTTGCATTTTTTTCACCCTACAGAAAAAACGAAGTGAGATTCCCTGTTACTGGGAGAACCAGTCTGCTGGTTGTCAGAAAGCGAACTGTGCCTTTCACCACGACAAGCCCCGGGTCATTGACGGAATATTCCTTCCTCCAAGTAAAGGTGAACTGCTGCTTTTTTATGAACAGCATAGTGTTTGCTTATTCGGGCACTGTTTTCTTTTCCAGCACGTTTGATGTTGAGGACATCTGAAGCTTTCATCCTGCATGCCCAAATGACTAGGCAGTAAAGATGATTTCCTTTTCATAGATTTTTTTTTTTATTATTGTGGCTAAACTGCCATCACAGTTTTTTTGAAGACCCATCACAGGTATTGGAGGTGAGTGATTGGATTTTTTTCATTTCTTGTATTTTTTCTTGTGATGGTGCAGGTCCTGTCTTGAGGAAGGAGGAAGCTGGAGAGGAGGCCTCTGGGGCTGCTGTCCCCCCTACCCCAGCCCCATCTGCGCTCCCGAACCCAGCCAACCCCCAGCTCCGAGGAGTCATCAAGGCAGATAATTCAGAGAATGTCCCAAGCCCCACTCACCCACCAGTGGTCATCAACCCAGCTGACGACGAAGACGAGGATGACGAAGGTAACATTGGGGATACACTGTGCACCGTGTGAGAGTGCACAGATCAGACAGCTGCATAGGATGGTTCATGTCTCTTTTTCCTCGTATTTTATCCTTTGAGAAATTGCTAGACCGAATGCTTGAATCAGTAAGCAGTTAAATACACAAAAGAGCAAGATAAGGCAAACAGCCTCCTGTCAATTATAACCTTTATGTTTGTAATGTGCACGTTGTACATCTAATTTGCAAACATTTCATTTTGTAGTTTTAAAGTGGTTTTGATTTCCTGGAGTATTTTTTAAGTTGTGGGTTGTGATTAAGCTTGTTTGGGTTCAGAACAAGCTGAATAGCCACTTTGTCATAGCAAAAACGTAGACCTGACATCTTTTAAGAAATGGCTGGGTAAGATCCTAGGACGAATAAGTTGTTAACAATTAAGCAGGCTAGATGGGCTGAATGACCTCTTATCATTTTTAATCTTGCTTATGTCGTTAGAGGCAGATATTGATACTCGGCAGTGAATGTTAGACATCAACATGTCTTTGTATGGAATGTTTCAAGGATAGTTCTTTACGTTTTGACATTTTGTGCTCCTCTGTTACCGTACAGATCAAATCTCGGAGGAAGGTGAAGAGCTTAAAGCTGGATCAGATTCGTCGAAGTTGACATCACCAAGGAAACTGGTCTCCAGCAAAGGCATGAGAATGTTCTGGTTTGCAAACTACCATTGCATGCTACCTTTCTTGACCTTCTGCACTGTTATAAAAAGTATTTCCCTGCATCAATTTACATTTTTAAACAACTTAATTAAATGTTTTGTTTAGCAGCCTAAAAAAGGGTTTGTAATAAAAATGTGAACCAAAGAAAGGAGTCATAACATTTAGAAGACACAGTTGCTTTTTGGTCCAGTGTAAGTAAATTAAATGAACTGCATTAAACAAAAATGACTGGGTACACTGGGGGTTTTTTCATAGTTACTTAACACTACTATGAATTTAATGTTGGAATTAGATTGGTGCTAATCAGCATCCATAAACTCATAGTTATGTGTTTAAACATTTGTTAACAAATTGTGTAATTACTTTTTTTTTAATTCAGACTCCCAATTAGGACTGATCATAGACTACCTAATGTTATTTAATGCAAACAAGTCTTGCAGATCTTGGTGTGTTAAACCATCCAGTTAAGTCTTTTTTTTTTGCTTTTCAGATGATTCATTGAACTTTGGCATTAAAACACTTGAAGAAATACGGTTGAGGAAAGCACTCAAGGCAAATTTAAAGAAAGCTGGTAATTATATTTTGAAATGCTCTGTGTTGTCTTTCACATTTTACTTGCATTAAATTTAATTTCTTTCTGTATGATTGATCTGTTTTCTTCTTTGCATTTGCAAATGTGAATTTATTTTATTTGAAAACTAGTTCACTTCCAAAGAACCACGCATGTAGAAAATTCCAGAGAAATGAATTGATCTAGTTAGATTTGGACTGATCTTTACCCAAATCACGCAGGTTTTACCTCAGAGAGTCTTCCCCAGTCAGCTACAGTTCTTTCCCAAACTGCCCAGCAGAAGAATGGAAACGGTCTGGAAAAGGAGAATGTGAGGACTGTGCTGAGACTATTTCCATCCACTGAGGAAGGTAAATTTATAATCAGCATTTTTATTTGGGTTTGTGGTGTTTCTAAGCATTGGTGCATCACTGATCCTTGACCACTGAGGTCTGAAAGATGAAGGTAAAATGGTACTACTATAATGCACTGTTTAGTATTATAAAAAAATAATTGTGAAATTCATAAATTAGTTTGACTAGGCTACTAAAAGCTGCATTAAGGCCCAAGGACTGGAGCTATAAATGTTTTTACAAAAGTCTTATCAAGAGTCATATTTGGCATCTATCCTCGGTTACGTTAGCATTTATTTCTCTACATCTGAAGATGATAATGTGATTCTCACTGCAGACTGATGCTTATCTTATCTGGAAGAAACTACACCATCTTGGGCTGCAGTGGTGACTCTTGTGTAGATAAAGAAACGTATATTTAAACATCAGTAGCTGAGTTGAATTCACTATAATTTTGCTTGACATTTGTATCTTTGGAACATGTAGAGATTAAATAGCTGATAGTGGTTAACCTTCGTGTAGTTGTAACACAATATGCCACTTTACTTCCCTTGATTAAAGCAACAGAATTACAACTATTTACTGTAATGTTTCTGTGCTTTTTTTCCAGTGGGTGTTTGTCATACACGTCTGGAATGAAACTAATTTTGGTACTGCATTGAAGGTCCAGCTCTTGATTTACTGTATTTTTCTTCCTGTGACAGGTGTCCCAGTCAAGGGTGACGTGCCTGTTAAGCGTAACATTGCTGAGAGGCTTGGGAAGCGAAAGGCTGCCCTGATGGGAGACGTGACCGTCCTTGTGAATAAAGGTACAGTGTGGCAGTTCACACCTTACTGGTTCAATGTGCACAGAGCAGGGAGACCAATATCAAACCATACTTACTGGCTCATTGTGCACAGCGTAGGAAGACTGTAGGAGGAGGTACTGTGATTTATTGTGTTTAATGGTACCCTAATCACTGTAATCTTTAAGCTTAAGTGTTGATAGCTGAGTTTTAAAAACCTGTTCAGGTTCACCTTGTGAGGTTGAACTCAAATCAAAGACAGCCACTGAAGGCATGGGAGAACAAAGGGCCATGCATTGTGTGCTCAATAATATATAAGAGCCTGATAAGACCATTTTCGAGATCACAGGTAACCAGTCAACAATGACAACTTTTGTGACCTCAGTGTCTTGCCTAGGAAATGGCATTCTACTTTTAGGGGAAATGTGTTACTAGATAGTATCACTATAATCTGTTCACATAATGCTGTTTTAGCCTTATGGTGTATCCATTCTTTAGTTTTTTGGTCAGTAGAAATCTTCCAGTCACAGGGCATCATCCTGGCTGCAGAAATCATGCCCTACATGGTCTGTCTGAACTGTTCATTTCAGCCTGGGCAAATATACAGATTTTGCATTTCTGTATTAAATGTGGGGGTCAAGCCTGTGAAACCTTGTGTACAGGGTTTGCATGTTCTCTCCATGACAATGTGGAATTGTTCTGTATACTCCAGTGTCTTCCTGCATTCTAGACAGATACCGATTTCCTTAACCTTTCTAAATAGTCCTCTCGTGTGTGTGCCCAGCCATAGGCTGGTGACAAAAACGGACAGATGTTAAATAGGTAAATTCTCAGAAGAAAAGACTTAAGCAATTCATTTTGAAGTGCATGAAATATACATCTAAAGTTAAAATTTTAACCTTACTTCTTGTAAGTACTACAATGTACAGTAGTGGAGGTGTTCAGACAAAAGCTTATGTTTTGATGTTTTTTCTCTGTAGAACTGGCTGTTGTAAGTGACCTGCCCCTGAAACGCAGTCTGGCTGACCGCCTAGGCAGGAAAGTGAACTGTACGGATGACAGTGCTGATATTGTTCCACCAAAGGGTAAGGAGTTATTATTGCACTATTTCTGCTTTGTCTTTGTTTTGATTTCAAATTCCTATTGGAACTGGGACTGTTTTTTTAATTCCTATTTTGGAATTTAATTTGGAATGAGATCGTTGCTTTACTTAATTTTTAAAATCTGCTTTTCTTCTAATTCATTTTTTTAGTTCCAAAACCAGTACGAGAGAGACTTGGTTTACCTGTTGAACATGCTTCTTCTGAAATGGGTAAGCTGGAAAGAACTTTCGCAAGTATGAAAAAACCGAGATATAAAATTGTTAGGTACCCCAAAATAAAAGCATATATAGTTACAGAAAATTACTTTTGTTTTACCACTGTGTACACAATCGGGCTTTCATGATATAGAGAGGCCTTTCAAAGCCTGTCAGTAAATTATTGATATTATCAGGCCAATGAGAATTGTTTTATTCGTAGAATGTATAATGGTGTATATGAAAACAGTTTTACACCACAACCACTAATACAGCATTTGTAGGCCATGTTGTCCCAAGTATCCCACTTTCTGCAGGGATTTTATAGTGTGTGTGTAAACCCAGTGCCTGATTGGACAAGAGTCAGTCCTCGAAGCACTAGCAGGCTCGTTTGAAGGTGAAGGATTACACTGTACTGATGATGTGTGGCACATTGGCAGTGTGCCTTGATACAAGTGTTTTGAAAGTGGTACTATACAATGAACTGTCTAAACAACAAGTAGGATACTATATTTTAATTTCCCTGCAGTCCTTCGTGACTATTGAGAAGTGCTGTTATTTTTTATGTTTTTCTCATGTTTATTATTTGGCCAAAATTAGCATTCTATAATACTAACATAAATAATGAACTCATCTTAAATTCTTGGCCATGCCAGATTGCGGTGGTCAGGGCATGTCAACAGGTGAGATCCGCATTAAGACTCTGGAGGAGATCAGACAGGAGAAAGCAGCCAAGGCACAGATGGGAGGAGAGAAGACCCAACCTGAGCAAGCCCCGGCCAAGGTATCCATCCCCAATAAAAAGACTATCAAGGCCCCAGCCAACGCTTATATCAAAACCTTCTCGGAAATCCTGCATGCCAAGAACCAAAAGCAGACAGAAGAGCAGAGCAAGGCAGTCAAGGACAACTCATCTGATCCTCTTTCAACCCCTATGGAGAAGGAAGCAGCCCCAGAAGTACAAGCTCCGGGGAAAGGGGCTCCCGCACAAGGAGAAGTGAGGGTTAAAACCTTGGAAGAGATCCGCAGAGAAAAGGCAGCTCGGATGCAGAGTAAATTGGAGAACGCTGGAAATCAAGAGAAGAGTGTGACTACTAGTAAAGATGGAGCACCCGAGCCAACAAGGAGGAGAATACTGCGCATTAACAAATCTGCAGGTAATGACTTTTTAAGTTTTTTATCCTAATTAAAATCCAGTGTGGTTTTCAGTCATCTTTGTAGCTCAAGAAAAGTCAAGTAAGCAGCAATTTGTCTCTGTGTTCACAGATTCAGAGCCGCCACAAGCAAAACTTGGTTGCATTTATGTTGAAATAATCCATATCTCTTTCAAACATTATAAAAAAGAAAATTCAAAGGTTTGAAAAGCTGTGAAAGTTTTTTCCAAAAGACATTTGCCTTTAAGTTCGCTCATTCCAGTGTGTTCTCACCATTTCTCAGGAGCAGCCTGTAAAGAGGAGAAGAAAACTGCAGAACTGACAGAAAAAAATAAAAATCCCCCTGTGCAGGTAGGAAAGAGTTGAGCTCTGCTATTTGTTTTGTCTCTTCTTTGGCAAGACATTAAACCCATTTTTGCATCCCCCTCTCTCAGACAGGGATGACAAATGGTAAGGGCGATCAGCCAGTGGAGAAGGTGAAGGTGAAGAGCTTTGAAGAGATCATGCGAGAGAAGAGACTTCGCAGACAGCAGGTAGAGTCAGCGGCCTGCCCTCCACAACCTATGGAGGCTTCTCCTTCGTCTGTGAAACCAGAAGAGGCCCTGCAAGCACAAGCTCCACAGACCGAGCGATCGCCCATTTCAGTCAGGCAGAGAGCAAGTAAAGCATGTGCCCCCCAGCATGTGCCAACCTCCGTCCAACAGAAAACCTCACCACCAGGCCCTTCCAAACCACGCATAACCCTCAGAAAAAAAGAGACTGTGCCTGTCCCAAAAAAGGAGCAAGGACCTGTGGCGGTTGAGAAGAAAGACTCTCATTCTCCCGAGGATTCAGCTACTACTTCAAAACAGACACCCATCTCGCCTGTTATGGATGGCCAGGGAGGCTCTTCTGCAGCCCAGGTCCCAGAGGCCGGAACACTTTCCTCAGCTGAAAGCCCCGGAATCTCTTCCCCATTAACCCCTAATCCAGAGCCTCAGGCTGAGAAGTCAGAAGAAGCTGCAGCTAAAAGATCCACCACACATCCACCGCAACCAAAAGGTAGTACTGATTTGGTGCCGTGTTGACATTGTACAGAGTTGCACGTTATCAGTTTTTTGATAATTTTGGTGTTTAACAACTAATTCCAAAAACTTTGTCTCATCCTTCTCTTTCTTATAAACATTTCAGTGAGGCCCAAGTTGAATGTGAAGCCGTCAGTGGTAAAACCAGCTACCCCAGTTAGACTTGGCCAAAAGCGCAAAGTGCCCGAGAGCCACCGCTCTGCAGTTGCGGCTGTCAAGCCTCTGAATAGCGCCCCCGCAGCATCGGAGGAGCAAGAGCAGGATCTGCTATGCAGGTGGCCTGAGGTGAGAGCAAGCAACTACTTCACTCTTTTTTTCGTAGTTTGGGCGAAAACAGGAAAGGATTAATTACTAAATATTTTTAATTAAATATTCTTGAGTCAAACTGCAATTTGAAAGTTCTCATTTTCACAGTAATTTTGTTTTCAGACTCCAGCACTCACAGATACAGAGGCTGACATGACATCATCGCTCCAGAGCCCACAGATCGCAGAACCTGCAAAGAAAGCCAGGACCCCCGTCCCAGAGTCCCCGCGGCAGGACCCCAGCACCATCCCCCAAGAGGAGCCCGACAAATTGTCTGTCACCCAGTCTCCTGCTACCCCACAGGCAGAGCCTCAGAGACCACCTGCCCCAGAGTGTGAGCTGCCTGTGCCCAAGCCTAGTGCCATCCCAGCCAGAGATACTCTGTCAGTTCCACAGAGGTAAAACTGCATCCCTGATCACAAGCCTTTCATTTTAACACTGCTTAATCTTGGGACAGTTCAAAATCCCTCTCTGTGTTAAATTTAGTTATATTTAAAAGCACTAATTTTAAATTTTTAAAATGACTTATTTTTTTCCCAGTGCTGAAGTGGACACTCCCTGTTACGGTTTTCTTTCTTGAGAGCATTACTGTCCCTTCCATCAGGCTTTTAAAAAAATAATGTCCTTCTTTGCTCTAGGTCACATGTTCTTTCTTACTTTAACTTTTCCTTTCTGTGTGCCCACCCCCAGCTCTGCTGCAGTGACGAGCCCGCCAGTGCGTGCCACCCCCCTTGCGAAGACACGCCGGCTGAGCTCGGCGTCCTCGCGGGTCCCAGGAACGGAAGTCGATGACTTTGAGGAACTGATCAAGGAGTTTGACGACGGCCTGGACAACGAGATCGAGCTGGACCCTGCTAAGGATGACGAGGATCTGCTGCTGGAGCTATCTGAGATGATTGGCAGCTAGGGGCAGGGCAGAGGGTCCTTTTCAGTTTCTCTTTGGACAGCTTAACAGTTGCTACCTTCACTTAGATGAAAAGGGCACTTTTTTAAACAAATTGGCTGGCTTGTGGGTTTTTATTCCCCCTCCCCTGTATTTTACCTTAAAAACTGACTTTTTAATGAAGTTTGGAATGGTTTACCCAACATCCATTGGCGGCCCAATGTTAACATTTTAATGCTAGAACTTCAAATGCAGTACCTCCAGTGTGTCTCCTCAATGGTTTTTACGCAATCAGGAGGTATGGTGGTTTGCACTGCATAACATGAAGTTCAGGGTGCTTTTTTGCTTTTTAAAAAAAGGTATTGTAAAAAGCAGGGAGATCTTTCTGTTTTTTATTATTTCTTAAGCTCCCTTCTTTTGTCTGTATAGTAGTTGCTACACATTTAACATTTAAATGTCAAGAATTACACACAGTGTTCCCAGAGGGAATTTTTATTGGCTGTATTTGCATTTTTTGTTTACTGGTTCTATGTTAATCTTTCACTGATGGAAAAATGTATAGCATAAAGAAATGTGAGAATCGTGTTGAAATACTGCTTCAAAGAAAACACCATTCATATTCTGTTCATTCTTCAGGTATAGAATGGAAAAGCCTGCTTTAGGAATTGTGACTACTGCCATACAAAGCAGTCTTACACTTACTGTTAGATTCACTATCTTTTTTGTTTAATGCTAATATTGAACATCTTTCAGTGCTACTCATAATCTGACCCACAGCTTGACCGAAACATGTGTTGATGTATATTTGTCTGAATTGTATGCTTGCCATGGGTGTCAAGTGCAGAATAGTTATTTTCACCTTCACCTATTATTCTATATAGGCTAAGAAGACTTTGAGCTTGGAAATAACTGAGATTGTGGAATGGAATAAAACAAGCTAACAACACTTAATTTTAGGATTTACTGATTAGCATTCACATTTTTTGCACCCAGCCCTGCTGTCCTCTTGAAGATATTGCTCAACATGGCTTCATATCAAGGTTTGCAGAGCTATTTCCCCAAAAAATGGAGTGACTGACCTGTAACTGCTTAATTGCCTGTTATTGCACACACATCAGTGTGTGATTTGTACTCCATTATATTGTCCTGGAAGACCTCCAAAAAATGTTTATTTGTAAATCTTACTGACTGTACTGTGAACACAATGGTCTTTTACATGTGGGGTAGGATGAAATTTGAAAAAAAAAAACAGATACACCTAGTTCAGCCAGGTAAAGGGCTTGTTCTGTTACAATATGTATATCCCTTTAAGTGGAGTCTGTATTAATTACGAAATGAGCACTACTTGAGTGGAATTTATCAGTTTAGAGGGAGGGTACATATCCGCGTTTGGTGGAGTTTGCCATTAAATCTGCTTGGAACTGTCAGCTTGTGCTGATAGGCAAAACTGAGCTAAACTTCTGACAATGGTTATTTTATGTACACGTAAAGTAAGGAAATAACTCAAGAGTGTCAGCCAACAAAGTCAGTGCAGTTTGTGGATTGGATTTCAGTTCTCTGTTACATAGTGCACACCAGCTCTAGTGCAAAAGCCCTTTTCACACATCACCAGTGCAGCCAGTGTGCGGTCTCTTCCATTCTTTGGAAATACTGTCTGCAGCCTGTTGCATAAGGCATACATCTTCACTTCAAAAAACAATTATAGGATTTGTAGATGATTCATTACATTGGAAGCACTAGAGGATGGAGGGGTTTTGTAACTTTAGCAAACAGGAGATACAAACTAAAAACACAAAAGGCAAACCCAGTTGCTTTAATGTAATTGTGTACTATAATTTACATCATTTAAAGAGTGTCTTAATCTAAAATGTGGTGCTGAAATTCCACTGGGGACCATGTTTTAATTTTTCAAGAGTGTCGTATCATGTTTTATCTCAACATAGTGCTGTGTTCTCCCCCCTGAAAAACTAGTAGTTTATTTTACAATCTTGAAGCTTCTCAGGGATGACTGTCTTTTGTGGAGGGAATATTGTTTCTCATTTTTCTTCTGCACTGTGCTGTATGAATGAAAGTATATGTACTCTAGTTAAAACATTTCAGTCGGGTGTGTGTCACCAGGCTGCGGATGTTTTCAGAAAGTGAAATAGGTTGTGTTCATGTGAGGGAAATACGTTTATATTTTATTTTTCTCACCATTGACCACAAATCTTAAAAGTGGCTATATTGCTACATTTGAGATGTATGGTCTGTTAAGGGGGCTGGACTGGGTTCCTTGTCCTATTTTCTGTGTCAGTTAAATTTCTGTTCTAATTAAATGCCTGTATACCATTTCCAAAATTCACTTATTTGTAAATAAAAAATGCCTTTTTCAAAACCATAGGTTTGTTTGCATTTTCAGTGGCACTCCCATTTATTGCATATTTTTAATGATAAGCTAGTAAATGGAGGCAAAAACATTCTGTAATTTCTGTCATTATTGATACAAAAACACAAAGACCTGCGGAGTTAGCTTCTGTCAATCGTCCATTTAATTGGGGCTAGATATCATTCTAGGTACCTAAACATTTATGAGAAATTAGGTGGTAATTTTCACTTCCGTTTGGCGAAATATTGCTTTTAGGATGATATTGTCTCTTTTTTACAGTTCTTAAACCAAAAAAACTTTGTTTCGTATGTCCTATTTCCGTAGTCGTACTGTGCAATTGAAGTATACAATTGTAATGGTATAACGACCTCCCATCAGCAGATGGCGCACACATTTTTGTAGCTTACCGAGGCCAGAAACTTGATCCTCCAACGTCCCACGCTGCTTTGAGGTGACCCGGAAATTCCGCCATTGAAGGGAAGTTGCAGCGTGGGGGCACCGTCCGCAGAGAGAAGAAAAGAAGCGCGGTGTTCGACAGGAAGACCGGCCCCAGTAATTCTGTGAAAGTTTGTTTTTAAAGTTCTTTTTGAACCAGCAGAACTTACAGGACTATGGCGTACAGAGGCCAAGGACAGAAGGTTCAGAAGGTTATGGTGCAGCCGATTGTATCCTTTGAAACACATAGTACTCTGCGTGCGTTGTGTGAGCCGGGTGTGCATAAATGTTGTGTAGTTTGGCCTAGCTAGTAAGAACTCTTTTTATGTCTACATTGTCGGCGTTCGTACACTGCTATTTACGTTTGGTATGTTGACCTGACTTGTCGTATGCTTCTATGTGATTAACAGACTGATATACCCCTCTATTCGGTTAATATGTACGTTTTTTAAAATTGAAATAATTTGTAATAGTTTCAAATCAGAAAAGGGCATTCTACAAATTGTTTATTCAACTCTGGCCTTACCCAACATGGCATAATTCGCTAGTTTTTTGCTTTGGTATCACGAACGTATTAGATTCTTAACAGTAAATGATTCAGAAACTAGTAATTGGCATGCGCATTTACATTATTTGCTTTTTATTTATATCGCGTGTGATCTTAAAAGTGTGGATTCCCGCTGGAGACCGAAGGCTTTATTCATTTAAACTGATAAAGGAGGTGATGTGAGAAGAATTTATGAACTAATTTTCCTTGACTGATCCCTTCAGAATCTTATCTTCAGATATCTTCAAAATGTAAGTTTTGTTTCTTTGAGTTACTTTCAAAGTCATTAGTTAGCCTTTGGTTGCATTTGTTCAATGTATCGGCTACTTCTACACACGGATTCTCCGTTGAAGACCCAGGTCTTTCAAGTTTCCATGCTTCCAGAGCAAACACGTAATTAAAAAAAAATATTTTTACATGATCGTGCTTATGATGTGTTAGGTGCCTGTGTATGAATGCTGAGAATGTATTCCAAAGAACATCATTAACATTTTCTGTAATGAAGGAGTCGGTGATCTGAACATTTTGTAGCCTGCCTGTATGTAACCTCAGTTAAAGAATCTGATAAAACAGTCCTGACACTTTTCACAGGGTTTTCCTGTCACACTGGAGCGGGCCTTTAAGCCTTCAACCACATCTTTCCTTCAGCTAGTTCACTCCTGTTCTCTCTCCTCCTCAGCGATCCAGGATCCAGGTGTGGCTGTATGAACAAGTTAACATGCGGATAGAAGGCTGCATTATTGTGAGTGAATCCTGAGCTCTTCAACAGAACTGCCCCTTTTCTCCAGCCCGGTTGCTGTGCTTTCTGCTTCTGATATCACACAGCAGGGTGTACCATTTTTCCATGACACAGGATTGGATACAGATCACGTTTAATGGCAGTTTGATACATTTCAGGTTTTATAAGTAGTTTAAAATGGCAGTTGCTACTGCAAATGTATTGGAAAGGGGGTGGCATCATACCTAATATAGGACCTGGCACTTGGTTCTGGCTCCCTTAAAAGAACATGAAGCCAGGCTCAGATGAACTGCTGTTGGTCCAATTAAAAGCTGTTACATTGCTATAGTGTAATTTTGTGATAGTAGTATATACTACTCTCTGTAGGGGGGGTTGTTCTCAATGTTCTATTCCAGGGATCTCCAACTAGAGTTCTCAAGACCCCAATCAAGCAGGTTGTATGGGTCACTATTAAATCTCTAAAGAGATTTAACGTTTCTATTGGGATCAATCTTAACAGATGGTAGTCTTAAATGACCTCTAAATCATTGAACTGATGAAAACTGGAATGTGGATATTTATTCTTTGTACATTAATTGGATTTATTTATTGGAATGGACAGTTACAAGAAAATTGTCAATAAAGCATGCACATATTTAACAGAGACAAATGTTATAGAAGGGTTTTGAAAATGTAAAAGTCTGGAAAAGGTCTGGGATTTGTCTATGGGAAAAGAGCAAGCACCGTGAGAGTCTGCAAGTTCTCCTCGTGTTCATGTGGGTTTCTGACAGGTGCTCCAGTCTCCTCCCACAGTCCATTCTGCTAGGCTAATTGGCCTCAGGGACAATTTGACCCTGATGGAAATGTGTGCGTATTTCTGTTAGTGTGTGCATCCTGCAGTGGACTGGTGCCCTGTCCAGGGTGTATCCTGCCTGTGCCCGTTGCTTGCTGGGACAGGCTCCAGCTCCCCAGCTACCCTGAATTTAAAGAAGCAGTTAGAAAGTTCGTTATAATATTAGCCAAGGGAAGCAGTAGGTTTTGTGTGTTGCTGTTTGCACATAAATGAATTTTCTGTGAAGATTAGGTGTGTCATTTTTGAGGGATCTACATTGACTAAATCCCACTTCTTTTTCCCTGACCATCTCTTATAATTTTGTTCATTTTAGGGTTTTGATGAATACATGAACTTGGTGCTTGATGACGCTGAAGAGGTTCACATGAAAACAAAAACCAGAAAACCCCTTGGTAAGCATGTTTGCATTTTTTTTTTTGGTCTTGATGCCCATGACTTTAGCTTTTTTTTTGGTACTAGTCTACATTAAAATGGCTATATGTCCAATTTAGGTGATGCTGAAACAAATACGTGGTTAATCTGAATGACCTGTTTCTTTCTCTTGCAGGACGGATAATGCTGAAAGGAGACAATATCACCCTACTACAAAGTGTGGCGAACTAGTGCACCCAGAGTATCCCTTGTTTAATGGCCAATAGTTTCTTTGATCGGTTGTAGCTGTTGTGGAGCAGGTGATGAAGTGTATGTTGATGGTCATAAGAGTAATTTAGGCTTTAACCAGCCAACTGTATAACAGACAGATGTATGCCGAATGGAGTCTTTCTGACCGCTTATTTTGTATTTTCTTGTGTAGTGTGTACCAATAAAACTGGAGTGCTTTTTGTAATCCTCTATTTTTATGACCAAGGTGATTTTATTTTGGGGAAATTGAACTTTAACATGGACTGGAGAGCACCTTTGAAACTGAAACTGATAGGAAAAGTGTGGACATTCCATTTATGTTGGGAGTGTTCTTCAGCCCCAAGTGATGATGCGGAGCAGTTGGATGTTGTGAAAACTATTTTTTGTTTTATATAAACTGCTCCATTAAAGGCAAGCAGTCTCTCCAGGTCTAAACCCTGGCTCTGTCTCCTTGCTGGTTTACTATGTTGCTCGGCCCTTCCTAATCACTGCTTACATCTGTCTGTATTCTTCCTCCCTGCTGCAGCACGGTTTTTATAAACCACAAAGCCGACATTCACATTCTGGAAGTTGATAATCAACCCTTTATTAACTCAAGCGCTGTATGTGCTCTGAGGAGGGGGAGGGGGGTAAAGTGATGTCTTCAGGTTTTTTCGCTGGTGACTGCAGCATCTTCTCTCCCACTGTAATACAGTAAAACAAGCAGGTTACATGTTTTGCCTATAGTCACAATCAACATTAACATGCATACATATTTGTTGGTTGTAGTTTAATAATGTACAGTAAATTTAATGCACTAATAGGGGAGATGGATTGCAGGTAATTTATTGAGTGTCCATTAAAATCACAATCAAGCTTTTCACCCAACCCCAAACACACTTATATAAGTTAACACATGTGCCTTATTTTAACAATTGCAATCCACACCACCAATGAAATTTGTTCCATTGCTTTTTTATCAGAAATATTCAAGCTCTTTACTTGATGTACATATATTACTGTATAAAAAT